GAGCAGAGGGAGGTGTGGCCGTGGCCAGCAGAAGGGGGAAAAGAGGGGAGCGAACAACTGTCAGTTGGCTCACAAAATTAGACACAAACCTTGAGGAGACTGTAATAATAATAATAATAATAATAATAATAATAATAATAATAATTCCTTACATTTATATAGTGCTTTTCTGGGTACTCAAAGCGCTTTACACAATGGGGGGGAATCTAAACATCCACCACCAGTATGCAGCATCCACCTGGATGACACGACGGCAGCCATTTTGCGCCAGACCGCACTCCACACACCAGCTGATTGGTGGAGAGGAGACACAGGGATGAAGCCAATTGGGATATGGGGATGGTTAGGGGGCCATGATGGTCAGAGGCCAATGGGCAGATTTGGCCAGAATGCCGGGGTCAAACCCCTACTATTTTTCGGAGGACATCCTGGGATTTTTAATGACCACAGAGAGTCGGGACCTCAGTTTAACGTCTCATCCGAAAGACGGCGCTCACTGAGCAGTATAGAGTCCCTGTCACTATATTGGGGCATTAGGACCCACACAGACCGCAGGTTGGGCGCCCCCTGCTGGCCACACCAACACCACTTCCGGCAGCAAAAAACTTTCCCATGTGGTCTCCCATCCAGGTACTGACCAGGTGCAGCCCTGCTTAGCTTCAGTGGGCAACCATGTGAGAGTTGCAGGGAGCAAGCTAGACGCAAGATTTTATAGTTTACCAAGTTAAAATGCAAAGAAATAAACAGTATTGTAATTTAGTAATTTAGTAATTAGTAAGGACAGTAATTTAATGTCCTGCTATATTTGTTATGCATAATTTTAATATACACAACCACAATTTGTTATATCATTATAAAGATAACCATATAAACACTATACAGTAAATGAGGAGGAATTCTCTCCTTCTGAACCCTGGGCCTGAATGCAGACACAGTGGATAGCAGCGCAGCAGTCTTTACCCCTGTCTATTCCAACCATTAACCCTGCCGTTATTCTGGAGGATTTTTAAAAAAGGTGAACATGGCAGCATGGATATGGGCGATGTGTTTGAATGGTAACGAACTTAACTGATAAATGACAAAGTCCGCCATTCTCCAATTCTCATACAGCTCTCTCAATACAGCTCTCTCGATAAAAAATGCTTGCTGCAAACCAACAGCTTTGCTGTATTGGCCCTGACAGCATTGTAATGTAAAACATGCAACAAACCCAGTGGATTATAAAAACAAACACATTCAACCCTTCATGAACGGCTAAATACTTCATGCCGTCCACACACAAGGTCTCACCCAGTCATTGGGTCTCACAACTAGGCAGTTCTGCCTTGTCTTCAGAATGCACATGCTCTCATGAATAATTGAGAAGCTGGTCTTCTCATAGGATAAGAAAACTAAGCTCATGAATAATAATGAGACGTGTCATTACTCTAGCAGTTTTGCGCTACGTTACCGATTTTTTTAAACCCGCTCCAAAAATGATTTTAAACCTGGAAGATGAAATTAGCTGACAAAAGCTCAAAAATTATCCAGTTTTCCCCTCAATTAAAGCTGACAGGTGCTAACGTTGTCTTAACTGATGCTCAACACACACAAATCTGTTAAAATTAAAAAAGTACTCCAGGGTGACTTGAACCTTGAATTTGAGAAAAACAAAACGTTACAGCATTCCTAAAGTTTTATTTTAAAAAAAAACTCAATTAATAAATTCAAGTTTCATGATTTAAATTAATCTGACATGCTTTTTTTGTCAGATAAATCTGATTTGAGTTATTAAAGTGAAGTCTAGAGCACAAAGTAAAAAACAAAACAGAAAGCAAAAAATAAATGTAAACGAGCAAACAAACAAACAAAAAACTTTGGGAATGAATAAAACCTAGTTTGGGATGAGGTGAAATAACAAACTTTTGAGGGACAGTAGATGTTCTATTTTTCTCTGGCATTTTCTGTTATGCTGACAGTAAACAAAGTGTATACATTAAGCAAAATCTGCATCTTAATATCAGCATACGAAATGATTGAATAGCAACCATTTTACACTGGTTATTTCCAATTTTTTCCTCTCGCTCTTTCTCTCCATCTCTCTCTTTCTTTAGGAGAAATTAGCGGGATCAGTCAGGAAGAAAATCATTCTAAGCAGATAGCGGGTGAACACCGAGTGAATTTTAAGCGGGAGCAGGAGGGTGTGGAATAGAATGTAGGCAAAGCATGATGGGGGGAAAAATACAGTCCAGCACATCAGGGTCAGAAATTAACCCCATGCAAAATTCAAGGGGACAGAAAAATGACCCTGTGCAATTAAATTAAATCAATTACAGCTCACGCAATCACAGCGTGTTGTTAAAATAAATGCAAAGTGCTGCATCTGATTTCAGCTTTGAGGATTATAACCAATTATAGATGTTTCTGTTCAATTGTCCAATGGCCAATCACGTGTTTAGATCACTCACAGATGACAATGAAAGTCATATTACAAACAACAAAGTGCAGATTAAAAGTGGATGGATGGATGGATGGATGGATGGATGGATGGATGGATGGATGGATGGATGGATGGATGGATGGATGGATGGATGGATGGATGGATGGATGGATGGATGGATGGATGGATGGATGGATGGATGGATGGATGGATGGATGATTATTGACAGGTTCAGTGATTATAACAGGTTTTACTAAAGTGCATTACTAGGACTAGACTAAAGTAATAAACACATTTTGTCTGTGTAGCCAGAATATAACGTGCTGCTTTAACTATGTTCTGTATATCAAATATAACAATATATACCAATATAATATATAATCTTAAATCATGCGGCATGGTGGATCAGTGGTTATATAACTGCTACCTTACAGAAAGAAGGTTAATGGTTTGAATACCGGCTGGTCCAGTTGACATTGTGTAGTTTCATGTTCTCCCCATGTTGGATTGGGTTTTCTCCAGTTGCTCTGGTTTTCCCCGAGTCCAAAGACATGTGCTACTGGTGAATCAAACTAAATTTGTTGCAGTGTACGAGTATGAGTGTGTGTGGGAGTTTCCCAATACTGGGTTGTGGCTGGAAGGCATCCACTGCATAAAATAGAAATATCTGCATGGAATAGCAGGTGGTTCATTTCACTGTGGCGACCTCTGAGACTAAGCCAAAGGAAAATGGATGAATTATAAATAAAAATATATAGTATATAATCAAAATTAACAATACAATTTTAAAAATATATCAATAATGATGCCATGTTTAATATGAGTTTATTTCATGACTAAATGCACTAGGCTACCTGGGAGGAGGGATTGAGTCGTATTCATTCTTGCTCTATAAATGTAAGGCTACAGCTCATTCAATTTAAAGTGATGCATAGATTGCACTATACAAAAGCCAAACTTAATAAGCTGTATCCTTCTGTCTCTCGTCTGTGTGATAAATGCAAAGGCGCAGTCGGGACCTATGGTCATATATTTTGGTCCTGTCCAGAAGTATCTGAATTTTGGAAAAGTATCTTCGGACTTTATTCCCAGGCTTTTGAAATGGACATAAAAATTGATGTAGAAATATCATTGTTTGGATGGTCAGACCAGGCTCTAACTTGGCCTAAACATCAACAACTCTCCTTTATGTTTGGCATGGTGTTGGCCAAGAGAGTGATTCTGATGGAGTGGAAATCCACAACACCTCCAAATTTTTTTAAATGGTTAGCTGAAATGGTTTCTGCCCTCAAGTTGGAAAGGATACGCTTCTCTAGATTTGGCAAACAAAAGTTGTATGACAAAACATGGGGCCCCGTCCTTAGATGTATAGGTTATTAATGTTTCTGTAATTTTTTTTTTTTTCTGGTAAAATTTTTTTTTCTTCTCTCCACTTCCTTTTTACATGTTATTCTATTTTGTTTCTTATTCCATCAGTCTGGCTAAAATTTCTTTATTGTTTTGTGATGGTGCTGTAAAATTGCTGTTATATTTGATTGTGTTTTGGTGCATGTTCTAGTTAGTATAAGGTAATAACACTGAGACAAGTTTGTTAACATATATACATGATGTACATTATTTGGTGTTATGTTTTTACAAAAACTTCTATAAATAAATATTTTTAAAAAAGGCACTAGGATTTAATTTTGCAATTGTTGAGCAGTATTAAATTGTTTTATTGACAACATTCTACAATTATCTAATTTCTAAACTTTTAACATTTCTAAAAGTTAAAACATTGTTAAAAATATATAATTAAACATGCTAAAAATGCCACCTTTATGCAAGAAAGGGACTCAACTCTAAATGACATTTATTTCATATTAGGAAGAAATGTCATCAGTAGTTAAAGTAGTTAACTGGACTAAAACAATTTACTAGAACTTCTATGTTAAGCTGTTTTGACACAATCTACATTGAATAATTCACCCAAAAATGAATGCAAGATATTCCCTGAAAACCTGTAATTACCCACTTCCAAACAAATATATGGATGTCAATGGTTACAGGTTTCCTGTAAAATATAGCTTCATTTGTGTTTAAAAAAAAAAAAAAAAAAAAAAAAACAACAACAATTAAAGCAAGTGTAAATTATGTTTTTTTGGTGTTTTTTTGGTGTTTTTTTCTCTTTAAGTCAATAATTATAGCAGTTGAAATTCAGTATTCTTGTTGGTATTCTCAAATTGACTTTCAATTTTAAATCAAAGATTATCTTTCAGCATTTTCTATCTAAAAGCTCTGTGATTCCATCCAAATGCATCCGGCTTACTAGAACCCGCGATCAGACCTTTGCTTCTCTTATCTGGTAAATGTGTTTAACATCTGCTGGGACAGTGTTATAACGGACTGCTTAACTTAGGCCTAATCCAATTAAAGGTTCATTCAGCATACTAATCATAGAGTTAAAGAGTTGCAAATGGTCTCAGAGCGTGCGTAATTACACGAAGTGTAATTATATGATCCATCAGCTTACTGTCCGCAACTAAAGTCAATCCGACTCTTCTAAAACAATGACCGCGTTCTGTTTTTGTGCCATTTGCAGAACCCACTGCTGACGACTTGGTTTTCAAGATCAGAAATGTGAAGTACAGGCACTTTCTGGAGACTCCGCAACAAAACAGACAGTTGACAGATGGCAGAGATTCACTTTCTCTAGACCGCCATCGTGCAAAGAGATCAGCGCTGTTTGGGACGGGGGTGAAGGTCTGTCCTCAGGAGAGCATGGCGGAGGTCATCACCAGCCATAAAGCCTACTATAAACTCAGAGGTAGGACAACATCCACCCTTAGCGCCACCAGAGACAGAGCCTTCAGCATCACTGCCAAATTTGGCTACAACACCTCAGATACTCATAAATCATAATTAACTTCCCAATCGTTGGTAGCCTTCCGAGAGATGAAAGATCAAGCCAAGCTAAAAAAAAGTAGTGGCTTTGAGCCAAAAGTAGCATACTTTTTTTTAAAAAAAGCTTGTCTCTTTTTTAGCCTTTCAGTATAGATTTATACGCATTACTATAGTACTACAATGAAGCGAGGAAAGTAAAATTAAAGTAAAAAAAGAAAGCAAATCTTGTAAGACTGTAAAAGTAAATTGACTGAATTACAAGTTAAAGGAATGGAAATTGGCTTTATCAACAATATGTAGTCATATTAGGAAAAGCATATACAACTATAGAAAATTAAAGCTATACAAAAAACTAAAACAATACAATTTGCTAAATTTATGTTTGATTTATTAGGTATGGGTTATAACAATATATTAGCGTATTAATAGCATATAAGTAATTTTGTAGATGATGAAATAAACAAAAGAAATGTGATTTCTAATACTCATACTCATAAATCATAATTAATCTTCAAATCTTTGATAGCCTTTTGAGTTATGAAAGATCAAGCCAAGCTAAAAAAAGAGTAGTGGCTTTGAGCCAAAAGTAGCATACTTTTTTTTTTAAAAGCTTGTCTCTTTTTTTAGCCTTTCAGTATAGATTTATACGCATTACTACAGTACTACAATGAAGCGTGGAAAGTAAAATTAAAGTAAAAAAAGAAAGCAAATCTTGTAAGACTGTAAAAGTAAATTGACTGAATTACAAGTTAAAGGAATGGAAATTGGCTTTATCAACAATATTTAGTCATATTAGGAAAAAGCATATACAGCTATAGAAATTTAAAGCTATACAAAAAACTAAAACAATACAAATTGCTAAATTTATGTTTGATTTATTAGGTATGGGTTATAGCAATATATTAGCGTATTAATAGCATATAAGTGATTTTGTAGATGATGAAATAAACAAAAGAAATGTTATTTCTAATACTCATACTCATAAATCATAATTAATCTTCAAATCCTTGATAGCCTTTTGAGTTATGAAAGATCAAGCCAAAAGCAGCATACACTAAATGAAATACTTTTTCTGCTCAAACTACTTATTTAAAATGAGCTGAAACAACAGAAGGCTTGTGTTTTTTTGTGGGACTTAATTGTTTCATGTTCAATGAACTCAGCGTTTTTACAGTGTACTATGTTTAAAGGCTCTACTTTCAGTGTAGATTTTATGATTTTCTACACTGTAAAAAATGGCCTTGATTTCAACAGTAAAAAAAAAACGTTAAAAAGCTACAGTATAATTCTGTAACCTGGATATGTTCCATAATGGTATGTTTCCTTAATCTATACGGTGAATAACCGTAAATTTTCCAGATTTCCATGCATGGCACATCAATTTTATGCATTTTGTTGACATTAATATGGATCTTTTTAGTTGTTTCCCCATCAGTTATGCACATTATAGATTTATGTTACATCTAATGTTGATAAACAATGTTTATTTCATGACTTTAATTTCATGCGTGTTACCATAATGGTGTTTAGTAGCTGTGTAAATGACACTGAGCACCTTCTATATGCTGAAACTCTTGGGGAAAAAGTTGATTGTGATGAGCATTGGTTCATTATGTAACTTCCTCATCACCACCTGCATGTGGGTGTGCTAACGTGTCTAACTGTGTAACAAAAGATGTGTAGATGTTGGTCATTCAAAATACAGACATATTACTCCTATAAATTAATAAAATACGGTAGATTACCGTAAAAATGAGAAATTACTTTTACGGTCTGTACCGTGTTTTTAAGGGTAAAGTACTGGCAACCACAGCTGCCGGTTTTTGTACAGTAAATTTTAAGGATTTATATTTAATAAAATGTAAGAAAGCAAAAACTAAAACACAAATAAATATGTATGCATATCTGCTTTAATAGGGTATATGCCAAGCTAGTGCTGTTCCCATGCTGATACACTTCCGGTGACCTGTTATTGTGAACTTTTTTCCATTTTATACAGTTCCTTATACAGCATCGATGTTGTAATGTTATTAAAATACATTTAATTAAATTAACTTTAGCATTTATTTAGTTTCTTAAGCGTAAAATGAGACAAAAAGCTGTTTACTCGCACACGCCCGTCTGAATCGGCAGGCTAACGCAGAAGCTCCATTGAATATATTGGGGTAAAATAAATGCTCATATTATAAAGATATGGCGGGGGAAATGTAATTTAATGCAGTGCTGCTTGTACAATCTGAGACCCACTTTATATCGGATATCACTCAGCTTGTGGAGATCGCTGATTTTTAAAGAAAACAGACCTTAAACGCACCGGATTTTGCATTGGCATTCAATTCGCCATTAGCGCTTAACCCAGGTTACTGGCAAATTAAAAGTCCTATTAGTATGCTTCGGCATACACCCCATACCATTTGGATGGCTTCACTTTAAATATATGGTAGAATTTAGAGACAAACAACCCAAAACACAATTATTTATTCAGTTAAAATTTAACCTAGACAATTTGTACATGCTTGACTCAGGAACTCGATTAGTGCCACAATTCACTTCACTCAGAAAAGCACACAAACACATTGCTTTACTTTAAATTAAGCACAGTGAGCAAAACCCATCAAAATGTAATTTCTTCATTGAGGTAAATATCTCCAGTCCAGAACTGCAGTTGTCAAATTACAGTCAGAAAGACAATTTAGAGATGACAAGCAAATGTTTTTGTTGTTGCAATGAACACAAGAATTACATTTACTTCAGAAAAGAAAATACATCGATTGTGCTTTGTACAATCCAGGCTCATTGAAATAAAGTGCTTCAGCCTACATTTTGTGAAACCACAAAATGCACGGTACCTTTCACATTTGCTTTTGAAAAAGTTTTTGGTTGGATTCAAGGAAAAGTTTAGATCGGTGGATTTCAGGTCTAGGTCAGTGGTTCCCAAAGTGGGGGTCGGGAACCCCCGGGGGAAAATCACAGGACAATGTACGGGGGTAACAAAAAAATCAAATAAACTTGATTGAACAATTAAAATGACCATATTTTATCCATAAGATACAGAAGGTAATAATATTAATAATAATAATAATAATAATAATATTAACTAGTTACATTAAAAAAACCAACATGCAAATAAAAAGCCTTCAGCCTTTCAATATTTTTTTCCTTTGGATTGTGACCCTTGGGGTGTTTACATTATACATTATATTTATAATATTAATTGTAATATCCCTTTGACTGCCCCTCTCACAAACGGTTGACCATGTTTTGACTGTTAAGTCATTTGAACAATAACTGTTTCCAATAATGGCTTAAACACACACAGCATTGTTGGTTTCCAAAAAATAAATAAAATAAAAAATAAAAATACAAGTATAATCATGTTGCACTATTATCTTGATGTTGGTTTTATTGTTAAAAAAATAATACAAATAACAAGAAAGGATGTTAATTAAAAATCTGAAATATTTTACGGCTTACTTTAAAAAAAACTGATTTAGTATTTAAAAAAAGTTTTATTTGGAATATTTTGGTACACTTCATATTTTCATATTTTTTATTGTATATGGATTAATTCCGGTACTTTTAGCATAAACCAACATCAACCATTTGGTAGAGACTAATATTTTAGAAATTATGGAATGTGTTGAAAAAAAGTTATTGAATGTGTTAACTAGCGACATTAGAAGTTAATAAATGCAATCCAAACATTTTTGTCTTGGTGGGGCAGTTAAAGGGATATTTAATAGTAATAACGTAGTTGCAGCAAATTGATTTTACAGCAACATGGTAAACTTTGACACCTTTACGACACTCATGTACAGTACAACATTAAAAAAACATACATGATTGAAGATGAAGGAAGATCTTCAAGTGGCAGTCTCCAAAATTAAACCAAGAATATGTGTTGTCAGTATGCTAGTGGCTATATTGGCGTATTGGTGTGAGCACCACGTTGTATGTTTATAACTGTACAATCACCCACTAAGGATTTGTCATCTGACACGTGCAGCTAAACGCACCAGAAGCAACGCAATTGCAAAAATGTTGGCCGAGGCATGTATTTCCAATGAGCAAGGGCTGGATTTGTGTTCCATTTCTATTTACTGATTATTGTTTTTCACAACTTGATGATGCACAAAAGTCTATAGCCAACATCAAGAATAAATGTCAAGAAAAGTAAAATATTATCTACATTGTTTTTCACCAGACTCCATCATATTTCCTTATAACAAACAACATGCTGCATGGGACCTTAATACTTTAGTCTTTTTTTCATCCAAAACAAAATTCTTTTGAATCTGAACAAGATATTTAGAAGAATGTTGGGAACTGATAGATGTCAAATTGTTCCTTCAATGGAGGTCAATGGCAATTGATCGTCAACACTCATTCATTCATTCATTTATTCATTTTCTACCGCTTTTCCGGGGCCGGTTCGCAGGGGCAGCAGTTTTAGGAGAGAACCCCAGACTTCCCTCTCCCCAGACACCTCCTCCTGCTCCTCCGGGGGAATCCTGAGGCATTCCCAAGCCAGCCGAGAGACATAGTCCCTCCAGCTTGTCCTGGGTTTTCCCTGAGGCCTCCTCCTGGTGGGACATGTCTGGAACACCTCCCTAGGTAGGAGTCAAGGAAGCATCCGAAACAGATGCTCGAGCTACCTTAGCTGACTTCTCTCGATGTGGAGGAGCAGCGGCTCTACTCCGAGTTCCTCCCGGGTTTCAGAGCTCCTCACCCTATCCATAACAGTGCGCCCTGCCACCCTTCAAAGGAAACTCATTTTGGCCGCTTGTATCAGAGATCTTGTCCTTGTGGTCATGACCCAAAGCTCATGACCATAGGTGACAGTAGGAACATAGATTGACCGGTAAATTGAAAGCTTTGTCATTTGGCTCAGCTCCTTCTTTACCACAACGGACCGGTACATCGACCTTATTACTGCTGCCGCTGCACCATTACATCTGTCAATCTCACATTCCATCCTTCTCTCACTCGTGAACAAAACCCAGAGACACTCCTCTACCTGGGGTAAGGACTTTCCTCTAACCTAAAGATGGCAAACCACCTTTCCCGGTGAAGCACCATGGCCTCGGACTTAGAGGTGCTGATTCTCATTCCAGCCGTTTCACACTCGGCAGCAGACCGCCCCAGTGCATGCTGAAGGTCCATGTTCGATGAAGCCAACAGAACAACATTGTCAACAGAGATGAAATCCTGTGGTCCCAGAACCGGACCCCCTCCAGCCCAAGGCTGTGCCTTGAGATTCTGTCCATAAAAATTATAAACATAATTGGCAAAAAGGGGCAGCCCTGCTAGAGTCCAACATGCACTGGAAACAAGTCTGACTTATTGCAGGCAACGCGAACCAGACTACTACTCATTCAAACAGGGACGAGACGGTCGTTAACATAGCGTCCCTGACCCCATACTCCCCGAGCACCCTCCACAGAATGCCACGAGGGACAAAGTATTTAACAAAATATGTGTTAATAAACGTAAATGATAAACTTGAGTAATAAAATGTTTTTTTTTTTTTTCATTTTTCGGGTGAACTTTCTTTTAGTAAATTTATTTATAAACTAATTTAGAGAGGATCACGATTGCTTGCATTATTCAATTTATGATTCACCAATCAGACGATTTCTAAGCCACTATAAGTAATCCAAGTTACTTGCCATCTTCGTTTTAAAGAATCCCCCCTTCCTCCACTAGTCCTCCTCCTTTCCTAGATGGGTGGCAAGGTGGCCCAGTGGTTAGCACTATTGCCTCACAGCAAGAACGTCACTGGTTCTAGTCTTTACCAAGCCAGCCAACGTTTCTGTGCGGAGTGTACACGTTCTCCCCGTGCTCACGTGGGTTTCCCCCAGGTTCTCCGGTTTCCTCCCGCCATCAAAAAACATGCAACCCATATTAATTAACTAATCCAAATCGGCATCATAGACATGCTCCTAGTAAATAGTTATCTCTTAAGAGCAATCACTATCTGTTCATTAGCTACTACAGCAGGGGAGTTCACGAGATCTACCTGAGCTCAAACTCCCCTCTCGCCTTGCAAACGGGAGGGAGCCCCGGGCTCGAGGATCTTATGAGCTCAGGGCTCTCTCCCGGGACAGCATACCAAACAAGCTTTATAATCAATCATCAGCTAAGTGTAAATGCATGGCAATTTGGAAAAGTTGGAAAAGTGCCTGCAGAACATTACTTAATTCTTTATTACTTATTTCTTTTATCCATTACTTATTTCTTTATTATTTCTTTATTTCTTCGTTTGTAGTCTGAAATAAAACAACGATGAACACCAGGGTGAATAAATGATGCCTCCATTTTAATCCCTGTGTGAACTACAGTATTAATAATGTGCTATAATTGATTTTGCCATGCATTTACAATTACGAACATAAGTCCACATGGGAGTGAATATTGAGTTTTCCTTTAGAAGTCTATTTTTCTATCTGATCTGAATAATTCCAATACAGTCAGACTGATTTAGTTATAGTAAATAATACTTCTAGCTTGAACGAAACCCAGTCAGTTTAGATTTCTAATGACAAAACCTGCAGCTACCTGAAAAAATATGTCTTCAGTGATATTAAATTACTCAAAGAGACAAGCCACAGGTGAACCGTCAGATGACACTCTTAATTAAAAGTCCATAATAACAGTGTTGGCAAAAGGACATGGCAGCAAAACGGTGGCATGCTAAAAACTGTTAAGCAAGTAACACCTCTGTCAGCAGTGCAGATAATTAATTATAAGTGTCCTGACATGTTTTTATCGGGTCTTTGCTGTTAATTCTCTCCGTCTCCTCTCAATTCTCTAACGGCCTTCTCGAAATATTCCCCATGATATTTAACAGTTTGTCAAGAAGCTGTGTGGGAGGCCTTCCGGATCTTTCTCGACAGAGTTCCTGACACCATGGAGTACCAGCAGTGGGTGTACGCCTGTCAGAGAGACTCGCTTTGCATAGAGGATTTGGCCCGAAATTTCAGTAGCACGCAAGAGCATCTTGACATCGTAGCCAGTGTGAGTGGTTGCTGCCAATTCAGTCTATTCATCTTGCCAATGTTATTGGAGAGTGGGGACTAAAGTACCATTTTTCATAACAAAACTCATAAATAAAAAAAATGCTTTAGGAGAGAAGTATATTTTATGTGTGTGGTTACTAACTCACAAATGTGGTCCATCAATATCAGGTGGGATTTTGTACAAATGAAGAACAACAAAAAATGCACATTGTAACTTTTGACCAGTTAAAAGTAACACAACAATATATACTATATTTTCTGGCTTGCACCTGTTTATATTAAATTGAGTATGATCTTATTAATATGTTAACTGTAAACATATTTAGTTCTTATTATTTGAAAAAGGCGGCTCTGGTCTCTGGGTGCTCCTGTTTCCCCCATAGTCCAAAGACAAGCACTATAGGTGGACTTGGTAAACAAAATTGGCCATAGTGTAGTGTAATGAGTGTGTATGGGTGTTTCCCAGTACTGGGTTGTGGCTGGAGGGGCATCAGTTGCGTAAAACAAATGCTGGAATAGTTGCAGTTCATTCTGCTGTGGCGATCCCTGATAATCAAAGACAGGAAGGAAAATGAATGAGTAATATAATATATATATATATATATATATATATATATATATATATATATATATATATATATATATATTTTTTTTTTTTTTTAATAAATAAAAAGTAAATAAATTAAACAAATAAATGAAAACAAATAAAAATTTTAATAAATAAAATAAGGATAAATAAAAAACTATTAAAAAATAAAAAAATATAAAACAAAGCAAAAATAAATTAATTATTTAATTAAACAAATTAAACATTAAACCATAATAAAAATAAATTAAAAGTAAAACAAATAAGTAAAAATAAATAAAACAGAAAAATAAGATAAATAAAAATAAAACATAATTAAAATAAATAAATCATTAAATAAATAAATAAATAAATAAATAAATAAATAAATAAATAAATAAATAACAAATAAAAATAAATAAATAAAAATAAATTAATAATTAATTAATTTTCTTTTTGACTTAGTCTCTTTATTAATCTGGGATCGCCACAGCAGAATGAACCGGCAATTTATGCAGCTTATGATTTATGCAGCGAATGCCCTTCCAGCTGCAACCCATCACTAGGAAACATCTATACACACTCATTCACACACATACACGACTCGTGTCTTTGTGGGGGAAACCGGAGCACCCGGAGGAAACCCACATGAACACAGGGAGAACATGCAAACTCCACACAAAAATGCCAACTGGCCCAGCTGAAGCTCGAACCAGCGACCTTCTTGCTGTGAGGCACTGTGCCAATGTGCAGCCTAAATAAATAAATAATAAAAGTAAAATAAATAGGTAAAAATAAATAAATAAATGAATTAATTAAAAATATTAAATAAATAAAACATTAAATAAATAATAAAAAAAGGGCGACGCAGTGGCCAGTAGGCAATGCTGTCGCCTCACAGCAAGAAGGTTGCTGGTTCGAACCTTGGCTCAGTTGACGTTTCTGTGTGGAGTTTGCATGTTCTCCCTGTGTTCGCGTGGGTTTCCTCCGGGTGCCGCGGTTTACCCCTCAGTCCAAAGACATGCGGTTCAGGTGAATTGGGTAGGCTAAATTGACCATAGTGTATGAGTCTGTGTGTGTGTTTGTGTATGTTTCCCAGGGATGGGTTGCGGCTGGAAGGGCATCCGCTGTGTTAAAACGTGCTGGATGGGTTGGCGGTTCATTCCGCTGTGGCGACCCCAGATTAATAAAGGGACTAAGCCGACAAGAAATAGAATGAATGAAAAATCAAAAATAAAAATAAATAAATAATAAAATAAATAATTAAAAATAAAATTAATAATTTATTTACAATTTCTGCTCCATTAAATGTATGGAAAGTAACCCAACAATACAAATATTAGTTATTTAAAAATATTTTATTATCAAAAATACGCAGAGTTATGAAAGAGTTATGAAAAGGAGGCAGCTCAATCAGAATTTTGCACTCTAAATGTGCTGTTACAGCTTGGAAAGTAAATGTTGTCGGGGTTCTAAGAAAACAGTTTTGTTACTTTTCTTCCATGTTACTTTCATCCCCATTCTCTGCCAATATTATTAAATGTTTTTGGCTTTATTGCACATTCTCAAACTTGTTTGTCATTTACAGAGAGTGAACCAACTGGATGAACAGGATAGGTAAGAACCCGAAGATGATTGAGGGCTTCTTGGTTTCAGTATATATGGTATGGCCATTTGCTTGTTTTCATTTTAGACTCAAACCCGTCAGAACATCTCGAATGAGGTCACCTGACTAGTGGGAGATGAGAAAATCTCAGCCTGTCCTTTGAAAAACAAAGTTTGTTCATATTTGGTGGCCTAGCTAAACACTGCTCTCTGACCTGATCCACTTTAATAAGAGGGATCCGTGCCCAGACATATTACGCTTGGGTGTTAGAGCCACACAAACACACTCAGGCTTATATGCAGTCAAGCCCTTTATCGGGGACAATGAATTTGATTGCATTTATCATTCTCGGATTGAGTCGTCCCTTCTCAACATGCTTTCAATTGTTTTTCAGGGCTCTCACACCTGCACCAGGCGAGAAATGTAAGTCCTCGCCATCCGGATGAGAAAGAAATGCTGGTTGATCTTATACAAACGTAACGTGATTGATGGCTTTTTATGCTTCAGGTTCAAAGAGTCCTGCTGAGCTTTTCATCATGGAATCTGACAGCGTACGGCCACTAACTCTTGCTTTGGAGAGTATGCACTTAACATACTGATGAAGTTCGAAACAAACAAATTGACTATTCTCTGATCTAATAGGAAACTGGGGCACCAGATGTTGTCCCTCAGAGGCCGGTGGAGCACATTGTGCGGTTCAGTGTGACTGTGGTAGACCCGGTCTACAGCGCACTACTGAGGGATCCGGCCAGCCCTCAATATGAAGACCTCACTCGCAATCTTCATGATCAGGTCAGGCGAAATGACTGTCAACTATTAAACGCATGATGCTTTGTTTTATTCTTTTTGTTTGAAGCTACTAACAGGGTCTGTAGTATTTACTGACAATATATTAAGTCCAAAATAAAGAGGTTTTTAAACTGGGAGCTGCAAAGAAGTGCTAGGAGGTATTAGTGAAGAAAAAAAAAAAAGTAAAATAAAATAAATTTATTAATTACACCCAATTAATGCATGTTTTAGTCAAATGAGTAAACATACATAAAGAGTTGTATAAAATCAGTTTAATGAAAATGATCTTATACACATAATTACCTAATAAATAACGGTTTTTCAAAAAATAAATTAAACCAAAACATAATGATTTAATATTTGAAAATAAAACAATCCAACATGTATTTAAATAAATAAAAAGAAGATTGAGAAAAAATTACTGAACAAATAAATTAATACAAACAAGAATAAAACGAATCAATTAAAATAAATAAATGCAGTAATGAATAGAAAAAAATGACCTTTATAGAAAGTTGTAATTTTATCATTGATGACATAAAAAAAAGTATAATAAAGTATATATAAAGTATAATACTAAACCAGGGGTGCCCAAACTTTTTTGTATTAATGGCCAAAAAACAAATATCATAGAGATCCGTGGGCCGAAGGTAAAAATAGCAAACTATTTTACATTAACACTGCCATAGGTAATTGTCTAATTTATTTCAAAACATTTCAAAATAAATAGATGGACGCAAATGGCTTTCTGTTTGTCCAAAACCAAAAGCTTCAGCTAAAGCAGGATGACCGTGATGTGCGGACGTCTTTCCATTCCAGCACTTGCTTTCATGACCGTCACCTAGCAACGGCCGTAAACAAAACAGCAGCTCAATGACGCAAGCGTACCAGGGTTCAGAAGGAAAAAAGACAGCGTGAACATAAACCAGCTGAGAAAGGGGGAACAAACTTTGGTACGGCCCAGGCAATTGAACCAAGTGTGAAAGCACCCTAAAAGATTGAAAATGCCCGTCTTTAGAAGATGTACTACTAATCAGAGAGCAGAATTCTAAGAGAGTATATGATCTGATTTAAATAAACAAATAAATAAATCAATAAATAAATAGTTAAGAACCATCTTTTCATGGTTACCTTTATACGTTCTGTTGACTACTGTTTAGAAGTAACATTACAAGTACTAATAACATACTCACATTAAATTATTAGTAGACTGTTATGACGAAGGGTAAAGTGACAAATTTGTTAAGTTAAAATTTATAGTCAGCTGGTGGATCATCAATATTGTGTAAGCTGATAATAAAGTCTACCAATACTCTAATGACTACTAGTAGACAAAGTTACAAGCAGTCAACAAAATTTCTACAACAATTTCTTACTGAACACCAACAATGTGATATTGCAATATAAAAAAGGCAAATAAATAGCTCAGGTTTGAAAGTAGCTTACTGTAAAAGATCAAAAAACAGGAAAGCCAAGCAATAATTGGGTAAGTTCAAAAGCCGGCCTGAGATTAATTAAAATAAGGCCAGAGCCATGGCACATGATTTTTCAGCATGGCAGCATGTCGGACAATCCGTAATCTGAGGTTACGCAAGATACGGTACAAAGATTATTGAATTATGTAGTTACTGAAATTAAGATGTTTTTTACACAAACATTTTCATTTATACTCCTGCAGATGCTGCATGCATTCGACAAACTTCCTGGGTTTAAAGAGATTCAAGTGCTGGGATTTCGGTAAGTTGATGCTGGAACTGTGGGATTCAGCAAGATATTGCAGTCCATTGAACTTGAAAATTGTATTTTTGGATGGGTAATTTTTCTCAGTGTGGCAACTTGGGGTAAGTACTTGAAGAAATACTTGTGTTCAGAACAACTGTGCTTCAATTATTGCACCATTATGTTCTGCTCTATTGTAGACTATGTAGAACTGTATATTCATACCATAACATACTGCTACATTGACGATTGTAGCTTTTAAAACAATTGCAATCACTATCCCTCATGTTCTGTCGAATCTTAGACAGCCAGAATGCGATCAACATGAAAATGCTTATATTAATATCGAACTTGACTCATCCTTTAATTTCATCAAATCCAGTTAAACAAGCTAAATCTATAATGTATACACCAACCATTTCTCAAAAGATCTCAAAAATCTCTGCATGACACCTCAATGACGAATATGTTTTGAATTATTGAAAGGGCCTTGAGGTTCTTTAGTCCCCATAGAGAACATGAGGGCTAAGATAGATGACCAAGTTAATGCAAGTCCATGCAAACCTCTTATAATTCCCTTCATAACATCGACCAGAGCTGGGGGTGTTGAAGCGAGCTATGCTGTAGTGTTTGAGACTGATGGGACACAGGCCATAGGTGACACAGACTCCACTGATGAATATGGCATACAGGGGGTCCTAAAGGGCATGGTGGTGAAGGTGCTAAATGAGGACACATCACTTCCTGTGGACGTGCGTTCCCTTACTTTTGAACCAGGTACACAAAATCAATACAATCAATATAAGGGCCCTAGACAGACTGCAAATATTTAACCTTACCTTATTCGCCCTGTACAGATTCTTCAACAGCAGACGGGCAGGAAAACTTGAACTCCGGTACTCAAATCAGTGAGAAGTCAAGAGTTTTACCTGGGGAAATGAGTACACCGTCTACAAAAGCTGACTCAGATGATTCTATAGTGCCTTCTGGGAGTCTAGGCATCCCATTTAAAGATGTAGACCCTGATAGGACTTGGGATTTGGGTGTGGGGACAGAAAGGAGTTTTATACAGAAAGTACCCGATATATTGTCCCATGCTACTGCACTACCAGCAGGAGCAGAGCTTATCAGCAGCCCCAGTCTTGAGGGTTCAAAGGCAGCAAGTCTAATCACTGAAGACACTTTAGCGACCAAAGGTAAATCTTTCAAATGTATAGTGAGTAGTGCACAAGAGCTCCTTCTTCTGAAGCTAGACTCTTAAGTTACGCAGCCTAGGAATAACAGAATTAATTGCAATTTTGCATTAGATGCATTTTCAAAGACACTCTCTGAAATGTGGTCTTTGTTTTCAAGGTTCACAGGGAAGCACTACAGTGGATTACCTATCAAAGATGCCTGAAGACCAAGAGGGTGCAGGAAATGAAATTGTCTCCACAGCTGCACCACTGGACTTAAGATCTTTTGAAGCAGAAAAGGCATCCACTTTAGCTCAATCTGAAATGGATTTTGATTCGACACCAGAGACTACTCCTGCAGAGGCAACATCATCAATCTCGACTTTGATAACCCCTACGGAACAAGCTAAAGGGGCTATATTTCAAGTAGATGATACAATTGGCCCATCTGAATCTTTAGAGACCTCTAACGTAGGTATTCCCTCATACCCTACCAGTCCAGTTGATAGCCCTGCGATCCCAACTTCAATTGACCCTAGTGACCACTTAGAGCCGCCATCTGTCAGTGTCACCGTAGACACACTCCATCTAAAGGTGACTCCTGCTGGACCTACCACTCCGGAACCAATTCTCCCAGCAACAATTCTATCCCAGCTAACACCCACCGAAGACCTCATTTCACACCCGACCCCAAACAATTTCCTGGATGAACAGGAACAGGTACTCCGGACAGCTTCATCTCCCCCTCATGAAGGTGGTGCAGATGATGAAGGAGAAACAAAACAAGATGTAGAACAATCTGATGAGGAGGACGAGACTCTAGACTTGGGGAGTGGTTTTCCCTCGGAGATTGACGAGAATCCCCAATCCTCGGCGCGCCCTCTAGGTTACGTTACCACTCCTTCGATAATGGCTTCTAACCAGGCCAAAGAGTTAGTGGTGTTTTTTAGTTTGCGTGTGACTAATATGATGTTTTCAGAGGACCTTTTCAACAAGAGTTCCCCCGAGTACAAATCACTGGAGAACACGTTTCTCGAACTGGTAGGTAAACACACTTTTGGCTTTGACTTTCTTTTGCTGCATGCCTTTTTGTCCTCCTTTTGTTGTTAGCTTTTTTTGTTTTTTTTACATCGCAGTGTATGCTGGGGCAATGCAATAGATAAAATGTGTCATTTGTCTGCAGGGATCTGACAGATGGCATCTGAGAGTTGTTCAGTTGAACAGTGTTGTTCAAAAATGTAATATACGTTTTCTATAAAGCCTTTGCATGAAGTGTTTGGGTGACTGACAGAAAAAGTGAATTACATATGAGTACATTTTGTGCAAGAATGCTCATTTTGTCAATTCAGATGCTTGGCTGTGAAATTTGTTTACCTTTTCAGTTTAGACAGAAAAACACATTCTGCAAGGCAGGTTAAAAACATAATTAAGCAGCCACACAAGCAAAAATGTTGAGGAACTGAATACCACCACAGCTGCAATTCAACCATTGCCATTTGCTCCCAATTTTGCAGATATTTGGATTTTTTATAGACCATTTCAATATCATTGGCCCATGAATATTTCCGGTTTATCAAATTACTTCTTAACTGTAACATAAGAGGCAATTGAATCAAAACAATGTAAAACAGCTATCACAACATTATTTATCAATATGTGGTTCTTTTCAGATTCGCTGAAGCTATAGAAATTAAAACTGCACAACAGGAAATACAATGGGACCATTGTAATTGTTTACATCCCTCAAAGTGGTCTACACATCAGTTCATGAATAAATAACTTATATTTTTCTCTGCCATTTTAAATTGTTCCAAGCAAAACAAAAGCATCATGCTTTTCCAGTCACCAACCGAACCGTTTTTAACTACGCTTTCCCCCCCTGTTAAAACTGAGATGTAATAACTCAACAAAAATTTCCCAAATTTCTGAAATTGTTTAAAACAAACCAAAACACTGTGCTTCGCATGTCAATAACCAACACGAACTTGAACGGTGTATGAGTGGAGCGATTTTTTCTCCCTGTACAGAGGAATGCGTAATAACTCCACTCCAGCTTCATTCTCTTTTCCCCCATTTTACGCTCCCTAGTCACTCCACGCTCACTGGAGAGAAAACCTGCCCTGAACAATCTCGTGTAAGAGAAAACACAAATGCTTCAACTTTCATAAAGCCCACTACTCGCCCCTGGGAAAAGCACTCCACTTTCACTCTGCACCACTCATATACAAAGTGGACAAGAGTATTAAAAACGTGAAACGGAAAAGCTCTTGGCCAATCATATTACAGGTTCACAACTTAGTGTTGTTGTTTTCATTCAGATTACATCTTGTAATATCCTGTTTTTTCAACTAGAGACAATTCTCCGAACCAAGTGACTCAACAAACCCAGAGGCCTCTAGTCAAGTACCTGACAGAGAACAGAAGACATTAGCCTCAATACCGGTACATCCACTACCAAACAAAATTTGACCCTCTTGTCTAACAACTTACTAATCAAAACTGCTAATCAACAAGCAATATTCGCTAACCAGCATTAACCAAAACTAAATGCTCACTCAATGGCTTTTCTGCTTTAACTGCAACATGTAATTATTACATGTTTAGTTCTTGACAGCGTGAACATTGCCTTATTGCTCTATGAATGTTTTTGGTTTCACAGCACACTAGGATTAATGTGCATAGCATACATTTAACCAAATGTGAAATCTGTATTTATGTAAATATGTTTTTTCTTGTTTTGTGTTAAACACAATCCTGAATTTGAATACCAAAAACACACAGAGAATGCCAAAAACACAAAAAAACAATCCCTCAGGGTCTTGCTGTCTAGTTTTGTTTCTCTGAACTGCTTCTAGTTGGTTAGGCAGCCTAATGATTTAGAATTGTACTTGGGTGAGACATGTCCTTGAATGTAATCAGTCTCCAAATGTTGTTTATTACAGTGTTACGTCAATGACAAAGCACTTTTTTTTGTTGTTGTTGATTTTAAAATTGACGGCTCAATGAATTATTTGTAATAAAAGCACACACCGATATAAAGTAGCTGCTTTTCTGGCTTGTTTGTGAATGGTTTTGGGTGCATGTAATACAACTGTAAAAATATATATATTAATCTATCCCTGAGAGGTCTACATGTGCATTAAACAGAGTATATACAAGGATCAGAGTGGAATTCAATACCTTTTAAGATCTTTCTAAAGACTCTTTCCATATACTTTAAGACCTTATAACCACTTTCAACCAGAAACACTGGCAAAATGTTAACTTACAGTATATTAACTAAATATTAATGTAAGAGATAAATCCAAAACTAAAACATTATTCATACACTGAATAAAAATCTGATGAATCTAGCTAATTCAGCAGTGCCTATAAAACTGTAGAAATAATGGTATAATTACCAAATAATGGATGATGGTAGCAGCAGGATGTCAAATCTAGTAGGATTTCATTGATTTCATAAACTACACAGCATCCTGATATTCACAGACTTATACCAGACAAACTTTAGCATACAACCATACATTGCATAATCAAAAATAATATAACATAACAGCAATGCAAAATAGCATTTAAGACTATTTAATACTTTAAGGGCCTTAAATTTCTCTACATTGATTTATCAACTTTTAATACTTTAAGACCTCCGTGAAGTTGGTACCCAATAAAAACAAATAATTCCCGAAACTATGCCATTTGTTTGTGCTATGTTCGTGCCGATTCGTGCTGCAAAAACAAACATTTGTGCTGGTTTGGTGTCTGAGATATTAGGCATTATTTTTTTGACTGTATGACGTCACTTTCCACCCCATGTTGCTCAAATCACTTTAAATCAGTTGTATCAGTTATCCTCATTTAGATATATTTTGGGAGCCGTGACGTCACTCTTCACCCCACTTCTTCTAAATCGCACCAACTGGTGTCATTCGTTTTTGTGTCCGATTTGTAGCGTTAAAACAAACACTATCATCATTATTTGTATATAACCAAAGTATTTATGGAGCTGTGCTGTAACTCTCCACCCGAGGTTTTCTAAAATCGCACAAAAGTGGCGTTATTCGTTTGTGCTGGTTTGTGTCGTTAAAATAAACACAGTATCTTTTTTTATTGTTTAGATATTGCTTAATCAAAGTATTTCAGGAGCCGGGAAGTTATTCTCCACCCCATTTCTTCTAAATCGCACCAAACTGGTGTCATTCATTTGTGCCCGATTTGTACTGGTTTGTGCCAATAAAATAAATACTGTATCTATTTTTATTGTTTAGATATTGCCTTATCTAAATATTTTGGGAGCCGCAGCATCACTTTCCACCTCATTTTTTTCTAAATCGCACCAAACTATGGTCATTCGTTTGTGCCCAACTTGTGCTGGTTTGTACTGTTAAAAACAAAAAACACTGTCTCTATTTTTATTGTTTAGATATTGTCTTATCAAAATATTTCAGGAGCCGCATGTCACTCTCCACCACATTTCTTCTAAATCGCGCAAAACTGGTGTCATGCATTTGCACTAGATTTGTGCTGGTTTGTGCAGTTAAAACAAACATTTTATCTATTTTCGTTGTTTAGAAAGAACCAAAATATTACAGGAGCCGTGATGACACTCTCCATCCCGGGTTTTCTAAATTGCACAAAACTGGTGTTATTCGTTTGTGCTGGTTTATGGAGAGTGACGTCATGACTCCCAAAATATTTTGGTTACTTCTAATCGAGTAAAACAAAGACCCCATTTGTTTTAATGACACAAACCAGCACTGTTCTGATTTGAAGTGATTTAAAAAAATAATGCCTAATATCTCAGAGCCCAAACCAGCACAAATGTTCGTTTTTGCGGCATAAATCAGCACAAACATAGCACAAATAAATGGCATAGTTTTGGGAATTATTTGTTTTTATTGGGTGCCAACTTCACTGAGGTCTTTTTAAGACACCCCGCGGACACCCTGTTAGAGTATAGCATAATTTTTATTCCCTATTTTTCTTGTATGCCGTTTAGATTATAGTCACCCTCTTGAAAGCTCCAAATGTGTAGGGACTCACTATATCTCTAATGAATTTGTTCTGTTCTGTAAGATAATGTTTTTCATTTTTTTGGATATTTATTAGAATCCTCCATTTCCAATAAGTGGTTGCCTAAACTAGTACTGTGTTGTGACAAATGCTAGTACTGTGAAACCATTTGGATTATCACATGAACTACTAAAAATCTGGCCAGGAGCTTCTCTGGTAAGTATCTAAGCAGAAAATGGCCATAAAATTAGTTCATTGATTCATAAATGGGCTTTTAAAGGATAACTCCATGACCTCTAGATATTTACGTTCGACTCTAAATTCAGCAAAAGGAGCATTGATTTTTCCACTGCCATTCGCCCATTTATAATTCAACGTTTTTGGTAGCTTTTGTAGAGACAGCTGTAATATTTTAGTGCTAAACTAGGTTTGTATTGATTCCGTGTTGTAGTATGCTCATTTACTCCTGTCTCTACTGGTTTGTGTAGCAACCATCGCAATTGGACATGGAGAACCAAAAGAATGCATTTTGATTTACATATATATGTTCAAAATTGATAATCACAATTTATAGAACAGAACAGCACTGAAAGAGATCCCTATAAACCAGTAGATACAAGTGTAAGCATAATGCTAGAGCTAGTATTCAAGAATAGGGATATGCTACAACGCTAATGTGCTAATTTGTTCATTTATTAGCCTGTTTAGAAATGAGCTCTGCTGTATATATATTAGTTGATTCCTTCTGTCCTGTGATGGCAATCAAAGGTCATGACATGGCATCAGCTAGACAGTAACATTGATTGAGGCTGAGCTTTGAGTCACCGTGTGTCCTGCGGGGAAGAATAACACCTGCTCTGCCCTGGCTCTTGGCCGAGAGGTGAGAGGTTGATCATGACTGGCAGATCAGGTCTACCTCCTAATACAGATTACCTGCTGTTATAAAGAGGTGCGCTTACTTGCTGTAGTTAATACGACATCATCCTGAGACACACTTTCATTACACTTCTTGTTTTCACTAATAATAATAATAATAACATAACATAATAACGTAACAGATTCTAAAGGTTAAGAAGGGCCATAATATACATCAGATGGCTTTCTTGTTTCATTTGTCATTATGATGATGACAGTTTAAATTTATTTAAATTTAAAACTATATATTTTGAAAATATTTTTTAAGTCGTTTGATTCTTAAAGGGTTAGTTAAACCCAAAATTAAAATTCTGTCATTTATTCACCCTCATTTTGTTAAAACCCATAAGACTTTTGTTTATCTTCAGAACACAAATGAAGATATATTTAATGAAATCTGAGAATCTTCCTCCGCTGCATTGAGTGTTTTTTTTTTTCACTTTAAACTCTAAATGTTTGTAAAAACACCAAAATAATCTATAGAAGCTTTTGTTTGAATGTTTTACCCAAGTTCTCAAGAGATTGCAAAGATTTATTTTAAAAATGATGTAGATATACATACCTAATTTATATAAATTGTGTTTAAACTAAGTTAATGAATCACACTTTTGTCATTACTTGAGCATCTGGTAGATTCGCATCAGTTTTGTGAGACATAAGTTTGACCAGAGTGATAAAAAAAGGCTTAGAGGTGACATCCGGTGCACATTTTACCTGTTCAAGTTGATATGATTCTTTAAGATCTTAATGAAAATCTATAATTAAACTTTGGGTAAATCTTTTAATCGGTAATGTAATTAAAAACACACACATTTTACCCCATCAAGGGCATTAACATCTCAATCTACAGCAAGGCGCTTCTATTAATATCTTTTTAAATGCTAATGAGCTGCTGCTCACCCCACCCCTTTCAGAGGCTGCAGGATCACAAATGTGTTTTAGGGCGTACTCACACTATATCCGAACCGTGCCCAGGCCCATTTTTGGATTGTTTGAGAAGTGTGAGTGCTTCTAATTGGGCTAAGGCACAGTTCACTTGGCCGGCCCTGGCCCAGTTGGATGAGGTGTGCCAGAGCACGGTTCACTTGGGTTTTGGCGCGGTAAGCTTGTGTTTGAGTGCAAAATGCGCCTGAGCCCGAAACTGAAAGTGAGACATGACTTTTAAGGGACTGTTTCATATGGATTAATGAATCATTCTAACTGTTAAATGAACACAAACTGTCATAGTTTATTAAAGAAGCAAACCCCTCACTGCATGACAGCTGCACATTTGATTGTTTACGAGCGTCAAAAGTGGCTGATCTGTTCGCCGAAATATTTGACTGCATGTCACTGCATATCAAATGACTAAAGCGATATAACTAAAGAAATCTCCACTTTGCTGAGCGAAAGCATTTTCTGAGCAGTGCATCATCGATGACCTAAGCGTGCCCAGACCCAAATGTATGCGAGTGCGGGCCATCGGGGGACAAGCGTGCTTTGGCCTGGTTCAAGGCAACTGTACATAGTGTGAGTACGCCTTTAGTGTACCAATACATTCTTAAAGAGCTCAACCAGAGCAGCACACACAGTGCTTAACCTCAAGCTTCTGCTGACTTTTGTCACTTTGACTGACGTGAAGTATTTGAAAAGATTTCACAATATTATGACAAAAATGTGAGATGTGTGCTGCAGGATTTAACAAATGTTCAGTTGTACAGTTTCTTAGCCCTGCAAATTATCTGATTCTAAACACAAGTTAACCTATGAAGCTGACGAATTGTTTGATAAAAATAACCCCCAAAAAAACCTTTGTACTAGGGTTGTGACAATACTAAAATTTGGTACAGAAATTTTAAAAACATCCATTTTCCGCTAACATTTAAGCGCTGTAGCTTAAACATCGCTAATTTGCCATTGTGTTCACATGCTCAACAGAAATTACTGTGATTGGCCGTGAAGGTCATTGGATCACATCGCTGTTAACTGAGTGTAACCACAGATATAAGGACACAGGTGCATTTCAAAGTCATGTTGATCAGCTGTTTTTTCTATAAGCTGACATACGAGCGATCCACTCTTTAAAATCATGACTTTAATGCACTCCAGTGTCCCTGTATTTGTGATTACACTCAGTAAACAGTGATGAGTTCGATGAACTAATGACCTTTACGACCAATCATTTCTATTAAGCATGTGAACACAAGGGCAATTCAGCGCTCTTAAAGAACGTGCTCAATGGCAGACATGGGCTTTTAACATTTCAGTACCGAATCGGTACCAAATTCCAGTATCATGTCAACACTATTTTGTACGTAAAATTATCTACACCTTTCAAACAACTTGTAGGTAGAGCTACATAATTAAATGCAATCCTGTTGAGCTGATGAAGTTCAGCTTCAAATTGCCCAATGTTTTAAAGTAGTCAGACAAAAAAATAAACTAAAAAATGCACTCAGGCAAGATTTTCCCACTCCTTCGGGGATAGTGTCTTATATAAAACTTACATTTTGTAATTGGCACATGTAAAGAACAAGCTGGTTACATCTAAACTGGCACATAATTCAAACAAGCCAATTATGGTACATAAACACAGGGACCATTTATACAAAAAAAAGCTACAAATTTTAACTGTCTGAACTGGCAGCAGAAACCTAACTAAAACTGTACAAAAGGTAATTACTATATTAATAAGCTTACATTAAGTTGCCTTTTAAAGGATAAGGGCAAAGGAAGCCCTTAAACTAAGATAGTTTGGATGTCTTTTAGGAAAATGACAAAAGTCTTGCATTCAGTCAACCACAAAGCATTCTCAAAATGCACAGCAGAGCAAACATTAGAACAAATTTGTGTGTTTAAATAACAATATTCTATGCTATTATTAGTGAGTGAGACTGTTCACTGGTTACAGTCTTAATACTACAAAGCATTACATCTCCTTAGGAGATTTAAATTAATCTGCAGTCATTTTTTTAATCTCCTTATGAACAAAAGCCTTAGAGTTGGGGGTGAATAGGTGTTCAATAGGGGAATGGTAACATCTCAGATTTCATTAAAAATATCTTCATTTATGCTCCGAATACAGGTGTGGAACGACATGAGGATGAGTATATGACGACAGAATGTTCATTTGAGGCAACTTGACGCTTTGATTCCTCATTATCTATTCATTACTACATTAAAGATGAATACTATTTTCATATTAATTGACTCCATTAAGCAAGAAAATGTAGCGGCACAATGGAGTATAATTGGATAATATTTGACTTAAATCCGAGCGATTTGCGAAATGCTAATATCCTATGTGACTCTTCTATAGCGTCTTCCATCTTTTGTGTGACTGCTGCAATCAAACTCTTGAAATCTTGAGCGGAGATGAATGACTGAGCTGCTACGCCCTATTTCTCTCGAACAACTGTCTTTATCTCTAACCGGCCCTCCTCACGCAGAGTGAAATGAGCATCGAAAAGATTTAGCATATTGTAATAGGATGAGAGACACACACGCTGCCAAAATCGTTCAGTTTCGAGGAATTGAGGGGAATTGCTTCAGAATTGACAATCTCAAACGTTTTTTCATCTGAGTTGCGTTACGTTCATGCACAATTAACCAGTCTGCACAAGTCAGCAATGATGAAAGAGTCCAAACTCACTCGATTGACTTTAATCTCTACTTCCCCCCCCACAGCTTCTGCCGTATCTCCAGTCCAACCTGACCGGATTTAAAGAGTTGGAGATTCTGAACTTTAAGAATGGCAGTGTGGTTGTAAACAGCAAGATGACATTAAACAAACCGGTTCCATACAACGTTACTGAGACGGTGCAGTGTGTGCTTGAGGATTTCTGCAATGCGGCGTCTAAAAGACTGAACATGGAAATTGACTCCCAATCAGTGGATGTGGAGGCAGGTAAGGACTGTTTAGAAAAGAAATGTCAACATGTTCCTTTATAAGGATAGTTTGCCCCTCAAAACAGTAACATCCTGTCCTCATTCACTCACCCTCATATTGTACCAAGCCTGTATGACTTTCTGGAACACAAAGAGCTTAATTATTATTTTCAAAAAAGTTCAATTGGCTTTTTCATCTATTACAATAAAAGTCAATTGGGTCTAAAAGTTCTTCAAAACATATTTTCTGTTCCACAAAATCATACAGGTCATAAAAAAATGTTTAGAAGAAACCACCAACATTTTCTTTAAAAAAAAGGGGGGGGTTTTGATTATTTTTGATAGGAATAAAGGACCATATTATATCAAAACAAAGACTTAAGCTAAACAAAAAAGGCAATTTTAATCTATTGTTAATCTATGCTTTATTACACATTAAATATTTTAATCAATAATGCAATATTGACAAAAATCGGAAAAAAGCATTTCTTTACATAATATATTTATATTTAATTTAGCATTTTCAAGGTTAACTGAACATACACCAAGGACACATACAAAAACTGGACATTATTTTGCAGTTGTTCCCTTTATTCTATTTTATTTATGCGGTTAAAATGTCAAATTATCACAATAAAGACAAAAATGCCAAAAATAAAATCATGTATCATAAAATTTAGTGCTACACAAAATTGTTTAGCCTATATAGTCATTGTCCAAAATTACCCTTTCTTTGACCTCTGTAGGCTACATCATTTCTGGGAAGAGTGTGATATTTCAGTGGTTTTATTAAGGCTAGATGAAAACAAAATTATTTAAAAAAAGAAATGTACACTGCCGGTCAAAAGTTTGGGGTCAGTCCAATTTTAAATGTCTTAAAATAAGCTTATCCTGCTCAGCAAGGCTGCATTTATTTCATCAAAAATACAGTACAACTTGTAAAGATGAAGAATGTTATTGCACTATAAAATACCTGTTCAAAATTAGTTTAGAATCTAATAAAAAAAAAAATTCCAGTGATTTTAAAGACGAATTTTCAACTTCATTACTACAGTCTTCGGAGTGAAATGATCCTTCAGAAATCACTCTAATAATAGTAATAATAATAATATATTTAATTATTATTATTATTGTTGTTGTTATTATTATTATTATTATTATTATTATTAATTAAATTCATGTTTATTTCTACAGTGCTCTAACAAGTAGATTGTGTCAAAGCAGCTTAACAGATGATTATAGTAAATTGAAATTGCTTCAGTCCAGTTTTCAGAACTGGTGTTCAGTTCAGTGTGGGTTAATTTTCACTGCTGAGAGATCAAACATTGAAGAGCAAACCCATCGATGCACAGCTCTACAAGTCCCGAATCATGCGAGCCAGTTGCGACAGCAGCGAGGATCAAACTTCACCAATTTGCAAAAGTAACAGTAATAAAAGCAACAATGACTGGAGTAATAAATTAATTTAAATCTGCATACAATAAGAAAGCAGTTATTTGAAATGTTTATAAATATTTAACAATTTAACTTTTTTATATTTAATAAATGCCACCTTGATGAACAGAATATATATATATTTTTATTTATTTTATTTTTTTTACTGATCCCAAACTTTTGACTGGTATATGTATAACACTGTATATAACTGCATCCAGATTGCTGTGGCAGGACCTAATATATAAGAAAGTAAGCCGAACAAGAGTTGTATAACAAATAATTTTTTATAATTAAAATCTTATCCACACTTTTTTTGACCGTTTTATAGTTCAAACCCAGGAAACACAGAAGTTTCTTCAATCATTTAGGACATGTGCTAGGGCTTTTCTTACCGTAATATACCTAAAACGGATTTCTGTGAAACTTGTCAATGACAGAGCAGCATTGTCTTGCAGGGAATGAGTTATTATGGCATTTCATTGGTGAATTTGAAGTTTCTGTTAACACTACAGTATTTTAAAAGAAAACTGACCCGAAGTCATTAAAATCCAATGACCAAAGGTTAATTATTAGCAACATAATGACTATTTCTAGTGGCATGGTGGCTCAGAGGTTAGCATTGTCGCCTCACACCATGAAGGTCACTGGTTCAAGCCTCAACTGGGCCAGTTGGCATTTCTGTGTGGAGTTTGCATGTTCTCCCTGTGTTTGCATGGGTTTCCTCCGGGTGCTCCAGTTTCCCCCACAGTCCAAAGACATGCGGAATAGATGAATTGAGTAAACTAAATTGATCAGATTGCATGTGTGTGAAAGAGTGTGTATGGTTGTTTCCCAGCTGGAAGGGCATCCACGGTGTAAAACATGTTTTGGAAAAGTAGGCGGTTCCTTCTGCTGTGGCGACCCCTGATGAATAAAGAAACTAAGTCGAAGGAAAATGAATGAATGAATACAATTGTAGCATTAGCACATCCCACCAGTACTTTGAGCCCTAAAACTCTGCCAGTATGAAGAGTAATCAAAAGACTTCACATTACCGTAAAAGGATAAACCACACCTGTATTAAGTCTTTAAGCATGTGTTGATGCACCTGGCTGCTAGTATATAAAGCCAATTACGTGTCTCGTTGTCTAATCCAGCTGACCATGCGGACCCTTGTAAGTTTATGGCGTGTAATGAGTTCTCCCGCTGCGTGGTGAACACACTCACAGAAGAGGGCGAGTGTCTGTGCGACCCAGGCTACAGCACGGTGGACGGCGATCCCTGCACGAGCATCTGTGACCTGGAGCCGGAATACTGTCTGAATGGAGGACTGTGTGAAATTATACCAGGACACGGAGCGACCTGCAGGTGCGTCAACATTAGCTTCTAAAAAACTGCTGCTCTTTTTAGCAAAATTGTATCCTACAAATCTATTCACTCCAATGGAGATTGCAAAGATGTAGAAAAACTTAATTCACTTGAGGATAGTGTGTCCATCTGAAGAGTTCAGATGCAAAAAACCTCTAAGTGCCGTCTGAAATTTTCTTCTACAACAAGCATTTTTTTCAGTTTCCTAGAGTACGCGTAGGTTGTTTAATTTTACTGCTATGACATAGAATAGGTTATATGCATTGCCTTTAATGTGAACTAACTGAACATAAACACGGGAGGCTGAGAAAAATGCTCATTTTGGACACATTTCAGATGGCACTTTTTGCGTCTGAACTCTTCAACTGCAGAGTGATCAGATCAGAGGAGCTGTGGAAAAATTGTACCATACTGTAACAGCCTATCACTCAGAAAACAATGTTAAAGTTACACATGTCCTTTATTTACACCTAAAAGTTGCATTTAAGTGAACCTATCTATAGTAAGGGGTATTAAGACTGTAAATATAGTATAGTATTTATAGCACTTTAATGAATGCTACAGTGAACTGAAAACTAACAAATACTGTAGTATATCTTATTTATATTATTCTTATTATTATATATACACTATGATGTATTGTAGTATAATATACCTTATAGTTGTAGGAAACCACATTATTGGGTCATTTGATTATATTACGATAGTTGTTGTGTTAGTATAGCAATTATAGTTGAAACAACAAATTAATTGAAGTACTTTACTGTACTACATTATGGTTCAAAACACTATGGTATTTACAATAAAGTACTACAGTATTTTATCCTTGCGTTACGGATCACTGTAACCATAAGGTAATTGTTTACTAAAAATAAAAAAACAAGTTACAAATTTGTTACTTTTAAAATTACTGCACCAGTGTCATGCTGTTGTAAACCTAAAACGTTTTTTTTTTTCACTAAGGGGAAGCGACTACAAAAATGTACACTCACCGGCCACTTTATTAGGTACAACTGCTCGTTAACGCAAAATTCTAATCAGCCAATCACATGGCAGAAACCTGATGCATTTAGGCATGTAGACATGGTCAAGACAAACTGCTGTAGATCAAACTGAGCATCAAAATGGGGAAGTAGGGGAATTTAAGTGACTTTGAACATGGCATATTGTTAGTGTCAGATGGGCTGGTCTGAGTATTTCAGAAACGGCTGATCTACTGGAATTTTTAAACACAACCATCTCTAGGGTTAGGTCTGAAAAAGAGAAAATATCTAGTGAGCGGCAGTTCTGTGGATGCAAATTCCTTGTTGATGCCAGAGGTCAGAGGAGAAGGGCCAGACTGTCTCGAGGGGATAAAGAGGCAACAGTAACTCAACCACTCGTTACAACCTAGGTATGCAGAAGAGCATATCGGAATGCACAATACGCCCAACCTAAAGGAAGATGGGCTACAGCAGCAGAAGACCACACCGGGTGCCACTCCTGTCAGCTAAGATCAGGAAACTGAGGCTACAGTTCACACAGACTCACCAAAATTGGACAATAGAAGATTGAAAAAACATTGCCTGCTCTGATGAGTCTCCATTTCGGATTGTAGGGTCAGAATTTGGCATCAACAACATGAAAGCATGGACCCATCCTGTTTTCTATCAACAATTCAGGCTGGTGGTGGTGCTGTAATGGTGTGGGGGATATTTTCTTGGCACACTTTGGGCCCATTATTACCAACTGAGCATTGTGTCAACACCACAGCCTACCTGAGTATTGTTGCTGCCCATTTCCATCCCTTTATGACCACAGTGTACCCCTCTTCTGATGGCTACTTCCAGCAGGATAACATGCCATGTCAAAACGTGAATAATCTCAGACTGGTTTCCTTAACATGACACTGTAATCAAATGGCCTCCACAGTCACCAGATCTCAATCCAATAGAGCACCTTTGGGATGTGACAGAACGGGAGATTCGCATCATGGATGTGCAGCCTACAAATCTACAGCAACTGTCCAAAATCTAAGGAATATTTCCTGTACCTTACTGAATCTATGCCACAAAGGATTAAGGCAATTCTAAAAGGCAAAAGGGGTAGTAGTATGATGTACCTAATAAAGTGGCCAGTGAGTGCATTTCTATAATATAACGATAGTTTGCACTTTATACTGTACATGCAAATGGGTCGTTCTAAAAAAATGTAAATACAAACTGTATTACACTTTAAAAAGAATCGAAGACATCTAATTAAAACTTACAACCTGACAGTTTTTAAATTAAATTGTTTTAGCATATAAAATTTTGCAAATTTTCTGTTTTATTTACGTCAAAAATGTAACTTTTCAATAATGATAAACTCGCATAATAAAGAAAATGTTGCAACGTGTAAACCGCTGAACAAAATAATTATTAATAATAATTTATATTTTGACACTGGTTTTTATTATTTGACATGGGTTTATTAAAAAAAAAGGTCTATAGCAGAAGGTTGTTGGTTTGTCCATTATGTTACCATATTTACAATAAATATATCTCATAACATTTAGGTTTTATAGTTATATTTTGTTAATTTTCATCAAATTATTGGTTAATAATTTTTTAAAAATATTACACGAGCTGAAATCAAAACACTTTTGTCAGCTATATGCACACATAAATTAAATCTTATTCATGAACACAAATAATTACAGTAGATTGGCAGGATAATGTCTTGTATTTGGTGCACTTTGCTTATACAGTGACTTCAATAAACCATCATAATATTTTTCTGCATGACTTCTGCTATTAAACACTATTGTTTAACAAATGTTTAGAGATGGGTTGAACAAAACCATGCACAATCAATTAACAACCACTGTACTCACAACATGAATTCAAGTTTCTAATATGTTCTTTTAGATGTCCTGTAGGTAAATTCTGGCACTATCACGGAGAACGCTGCAGTGAATTGGTGTCTGTTCCAGTCGATCCTGTCCTGTTCGTAACCTGCCTGGTGGGAAGCCTCTCAGTAGTTTGTGCTGTGATAGGCATCTTGATTTTCATTAACAAGAAATGTATACGGACCAGAAAGAGCATGAGACTTGTGTAAGAAGGCTTTTCTTTCCCCCTTTCTCTCCACCAGTAGACATTTGCTTTTTGGTGACAGATTTGGATCTGCAGTGGTGACCCATTTTGAAGTTGTTGGTGTTAAGACCTGATCTCCTTTGCCTTATAGACGTCCACAATCTGCATTCCCCTTTGGTAATACTATGAGAGTAAATCCAGTTTTTGAGAATGACGATGGGGTCTTAACACATGTGTCGAGCATCCTCTGTCCCATGAGCTCTGACTCAGCCTCCTTACAACAATCAGGCCAAGGCACATTTCGCTCAATTGAAAGTTTACAACTCAGTATTGAGGTAAAGTGTACAGTCAAGGTGGTCTTCTTAAGGGTACACTATGTAACGTTTGGACATCTAGCGCTAAACTCCATGCATTTTGTTTTTGTTTAGAAGTCCTCTGAGGCTCTATGCAGATGACTGTGGTGTACCGATATAAGCCCTGAAATCATAACACAAATTGCTATCTAAGACTGGATGTTGCTTTTTAATGATCCTCCAAAGTTTTGAAGCTCAAGAAACATGCATAATGGAAAGGTCACAAACTAGGGCTGTTGATAAAAATAAAAAGAATATCTCAGTATTTTTGGAGACTTTTTTTATAGGAATCATTCAACAAAATTTAGCTGCGAGTATTTCCGTACTAGTCTGGGCTTGTTTAGGGTTGTGATACTAAAATATTACACTAAAAACACCTTAATGAGTCTTAATTAATTGAATTATTCATTCAATAAATTTGTGTAAGAAACAGCAGCATGTTTACAACAGTGATAAATATAATCACTTGAATATGCCAACACAACAAAACCACACAAAGAAAAACACTTAAAGACAAAAAAACTGCTTACACCATTACAGAGAGGCTGCCAGACTGAAACTCGTATATTACTAAAGAAACAATTGCGACGTCATCATTGATGATAAATAATTGTGCATGCTTATAGTTGCAAAACTATTTAGAGAGATAGACACATTAGGGGCTCTATTTTAACGATCTAAGTGCAAAGTCTAAAGAGCATAGCACAAAACCATTAAGGGCATGTCCAAATCCACAAAAAAATATGGTCTGCACCCTTGCGCATGGTCTAAGAGGGTTGCGTTTATTCTCTTAATGAGTTCTGGGTGTGTTTTAATCATAACGTGCATTAAACCTATCAGGGTCAAACCATGGTGCATTTGCTCTTTGGAGTTAAGTGGAAAAACTGAACTAGCTTCACTAGAGAGAAAACAGTTGAACAAGACATCTGTGTGAGGATAAATATTGAGCTTCCTCCATTCACCCTCTTTTTCCTTTACTCCTTTAATTTTGTGGAGTAAGGAAACAGTGGACTCACTCCACTGAAGACATCTATTAGCCTACATATTTAATTTTGTTTGTTAAGCGCAAAGATTTGTTTCAAAACAATTTCTACAGAAAATTCAGTTCTAATTTTCAGCAAACTAACTGTTGAACAATGAACAATAACAATGAAGTGTGGTCAAAAAAAAACTGTAGTTACATCTAAAAACATGTCCTATTCTTATGCCAAATTTGGTGATGCATACTCTCCATTACCCAACAGTTGGACAAATCTAAACGACAGGTGGACAAATCTATTAAGCAATGTAAGTGTTTCGACCTGCATAGGCAAATAGCTAACACACTCTTTGCTGGACTTAAGACCAGCTTTTAGTTGGTCAATGTTGCGGTCTATTTCAGTTTCCTTAAAATAGCAATGCGCCAACAATGCATCTTAACACACCTCCTTTTTAGACCAGCACACAAAGACAGAATGGTGCAACAGAGTGGTGCAAATTGATTTGCTCCTTACAAAACGTGGCACAAAACATGAAAATTACAGTTGCGTTGGTCTAAGAATAGCAACAAATTGTGTCATGAATGTCTTGCGCCTTATTGCGCCGAGTGTATAATAGGGCCCCAAGTGTCTAATCAATATAGTCTGTTCTTCAAAAAAAAAAAAAAAACTGCTCTACAGCAAATAGGTCTGGGTGATTAATCACATATTTCCTGAATATTTTGCCTGTAAAATCAGTTCTAGTAAATCTCCAACAAGCGCTTCCGCAGATTCGCAGTACATTGTCAATATTTATCAATTATTTTAATGTAAATTATTCAAAAATGTTGATTCAGGTTTTATTACAGACACTTTCCTTTTTGGCTTGAAAAATGGGATTTAAAAAAAAATTACAATGTTTTGCCAAATGGCTTTAAACTTTATGGTATGTGTACTATAATGAAGCAAGCATGTGAGAATAACCTGTACAAAATCTTAAGAAAAAATTAAGTGTGTCTTAATATAATCTTCCTGCAAAATCTTACACTTAATAGGCATAGAAATTCAGTCAAGAAGATAAAACATGGTTTAGAAGACAAACTTATGATGTACCCACTCATTATTTAATTAGTAATTGCAAACAAACAAAGTTACAAAGTGTACCTTTAATGATCTTTTTAAATCAGTCTCAAAACCGCTACTAACATCCACAATCTACCTATTTCTAATGAAATCATATTTATGTGCTTCGTTAGCGATTTTGTGAAGAGGATGGACTAACTTCTCCTGTTATGAAGAACTTTAGAAAATTCACATTCACATGTAGGCTTTGTTCAGACAAACTGCAAAACAATTTAAAAGTTTGGCTCATTAAATTTGATTGACATTTCAGATCCCTCTAATGTGTTCCTGTTAACATTCTTGTTCCTCTCACCAAAAATGTAGCTACCTCAAAAATAACTTGAGTACACAGATTTGAGGACTAAACTCTAGTAAATGTGTGCGCAGTGTGAACAAAGCCTACAGTTCGGCACTCAAACAAACAGCTGAAATGTCACCATATTGTTAACAATCCAGCCGATTAAAAATTTGGCGTTTGTAAGACTGTTGATGAGTTTGAAAATTGATTTAAACTGATTCTTACTGTATGCTTTCCAAGTCATTTATTTAAATGACAAAGTAAAAAAGTAACAAGATGAAACAATAATATAATTTTTTTAATAACTGTTTTCTATTTCAATTAAATATTCAAACAAAGTGATTTAACTTTTAGCATGCTTCATTAGAAAAAATTTTTATATGACAAGTTAGATCTCAAAAAACATGTTATTATCAATTTTGAAAACAACTGTTTTCTCAATCATTTTGTATACTACTAAAGAGCAACTGATAAAAACAAATTACGGCAATTGTATGGTGGCCGAGAGAGCTTAACATGCTGCAATTTAAGAAAACGCATCCAATTATGAAAAACAGCAGCAAAAATCTTCATCTGTTTGACCGCACATCTACTACTGCAAATCCTCACATTGCATACACTTTAATAAACGAGCTGCATTCTCACACAACGCAAACAAGTTTATAAAATGTGCTGCATTTCCTCACAACAAAAACTATTTATGAAAACACACTGCAATTTTTCACACTTGCAAAAAGAACAGAGCACAACATAAATGTTTCAAGGAGACCAAAAACTGTGTCTGATGCAGATGTGCCGTGACTGTTCAGTGAAGTTTTGGGTGATCTTTGAAAGGTGAGTTTTTTATTTTATTAGAGTTGTTTATTTTAACATCCTGATTCCATTGTCATTTGTATTTTATTAGCCTAAATCACCTTAACCTAAATAGCCAGGTCTCTTGAGTTTTAGGGTCCCCTTGAAACATTCTCATTGTGTTCGGCCCTATTTGAAAAAATGCAGCGCATTTTCATAAATTGTTTGTGTCGTGAGAAAAAGAAGTCAGAATTATAACTAGAAAGTCAGAAATGCCAACACTATCTCATAGCAATTCGTAACTTTAATTAAGTGGCTAATTCGTAAAAATTTGTACAATCTGATTCGCACGATTTAGTATGATTTGCTTATCTAGAAATGACAGTTGAGTTTAGGGGTAATGTCCTTTTTAAAAACTCGACCTGAATTTGCTACTAAACTGACAAAACGTAAAATAGTTACATTTCCTCGTGAGATCAGGTTCATATTTGCTAAATTCAACTTTTATTATAGCAAAAATGAGTGCATATTGTGTCTCTCTATGATTTTGTATCATGCAAATATAAGCAACAAAAGTAAGATGAGGTCACAATTACGATGCTCCGATCGATTGGCTGATATTCACATTTCATGACTCGATCGGCCCTCACTGATCTGGCTGATCTCATAAATGAATCACAAGTGTTTGTTTACTAGTTTACAAACCGGTATATACATCCACAGTGCTACAACATGTGAGTATTGTTTCCAAATTGCATTATCAGTAATTGTTCTTACTAGTTTTTTCTGTCTGTTTTATTTGTTATCTTTTTGTAAAGCTGCTTTTGACCATTACATGTACACAACATCCTTAATTTATTCTGTTGCTTGAGCCGAGATCTCATATTTAGAGCAAAAATGTGCTTATGCAATGGCAAAGTTATATAAAGCTTGATAATCGGTAGTAATATCGGCTGCAAAAACTCTGATCTGAGCATCCCCAACAATTATCTTATACTTATCAGGTACCTTATATACTAGTGGTATACTGTATATACAGTGGTTTCCATACAATTTCCAAAACCACAAATTCAAAATCAACAGGCCCCCCGAGGGATCATAATGATATAGTAACACACTTTACCAATGTCAGCCCATTATCTAATGGAAATGGTAAAGTGTGAACTACAAAGAGATAGCAATGACAGGCTATATTTACACAGAAGCTCTGCACAGGCCTGCCTTCAGAAAAAAAATAAAAAAATAAAAATGTTGCTTTTGGTGAATCAGCTGTTTGTTGAGCGTTTCCTTATCTAGAAGAAACTAAAGATGTCAGCAAAAATCCATGCATCGGTGTCCTCAGTGTTAACCTGATAGACTGTATTCATAATCAAATTGATTCAAAATAGCAATGCGATTGCATCTCTAAACAAGTTACAAGCACAATGTGTTGCAACAAACAAGCAAACAAAAATGTCAGCGATGTTATGAGACTTTCAAAACTTCAGGAATGAGGAATTAAGTGGATTCAGGAAAAAACGGACAGCATGCATGGCTTTTGCATCTCATTTAGACTAGCGCATCTGTAGTTGTCTAATCTGATGATATTATGAATAATAATCAGTCCTTTTTTTCCAGCAACAGATGTTTTGCTTTTCAATATTTTGACAGTCTGAATTATCGTACAGTGCCAAAATTTGTTTTTACCTTGCTTCTTTGTTTGTCAAGACTTGGCAAGTCTCCATGAAAAAAACTGCTTGAAGATTGATGAGAGTCTGTCATTCCTTTCCCAGATCCCCAGACAACTCTACACCAGAAGATCAGAAAAGTTAATGTCAGAAATGGTTGACTTCCATCAGTATATACCACATAATGAGGTAAGCTGGTGTAAAAACAAACAAATTTTGTGTTCACAGAGACCGTAAATAATCACGACATTTTCATTTATCACGTCAACATGATAAATGTTTGCCATCAAAATGCCAGCGACCAGACTGAAGAGGAAATAATATTATTAAACGAGATGTTTTTTTGGGGGGGAATGTTGCACCCTTCCTGCGGCACTCCACTATTTAGTTTCACTAAAGCGAGACACATTTTGAAGTTGGCCTTTCGATATAAAGCAACATTAGTTAATATAACTAAAGATGTCAGTTATATTAGTTAATATAACTAATGTTAAAAATTAAGATAGTAAAAAAAATCATCTAATGAAAAAGGTATGCAAGATACACTTGTTTTTATGCGTGTCTATAGATTTTAATTACGATCCATATTTTTTATTGGCTGTTTTTGTCAGCAAAACATATATTCAGAGTATTTTCATTATTGAACTTCTGTACCATAAGACAGTTAGACATCAGCGAAAAAACATGTATTTTCTTATCCTTGTTGAATGTTCTGCACTTTAGTGTTATTTAGGATATTTTTGTGTAATTTTGTATTATTTAAGCAGATGCACACCCCTACAAAATCATCCAATCAATGTTAAATCATGAATTATAAGTCATATTGTGATATATTACGCTTATATCGCAATATAGATTGCAGAAAAAGTTTATTTTTTCCAATATCATGCCGCCTTTTTATCTTGTTTTAATTTGATGTCAGCAATAAAAACAAATGCAATAAATAAAAAGCAACAATTACAAATAAAATTAATTAAAATAAATTGAATGATTTTTAATGCTAAAATGTAACTATTGCACAGTAAAAAAAATGTATACATCTATGATCAATTAGTCACGAAATGTTTTTATTTCATTGTAACTTATTAAACTAAGTTAATCATGTTCTAAGCAAATTTTTATATTTTAAACGTTACACAAGCCGTTTTAAGTCAGTTTAGTGTAACATAACTGCAATGGACTCACGGTTAATTTGATTAAGCATAAATCTTTAAGGCAACCAAGATTTTTTTATAGTGCAGTAATACTTTGTTGAGCAGCTCTTTAAATTAGTTTGCGGTTACAACAACAAAAAAAGACTTCTGTGGACATTTAAAGCAGTACAGTCCATTAAAATGTCTTACAATGAGAATAATTTTACAAAAACAAAGACTGTTTTGTCAAAATATTTTTTTTTCACCTGCACTAAACACTTTAGCAGCTTCATCAGCCCTTCCATAGACCACAACTTTTATTTAAACCCTGTAGACCCGCAGTGTATTGCCTCAAATAAATATTTATTTATGCCTATAACTTATCAATTGTCATGTAATGAAAAATTGAAAGCAGCCTTATTCGGTCTAGCAGGCTTAAATAGTTGGGTTTTGTTTATAACCATGAAGGATCACAAAAGTTCACGTAAGATGTTTATTTGCTGAAGTGTGTCTTAATATAATGCAATGATTTTTCCTGAACGTAATCCTCTTTCCTCATGTGAAATTGTTACATTAGTAATGTATTCTGAAGGATGTAAACAACCGGATATTCAAAAAGGTAGTATGAACTTGACGGCTATACAACATTTAGTCAATGGCTGTTTCTGAATCCACAAGCTGATTGAGCGGAGAAATGCATTTACAAAACCAATAATAACTTTCATGGCAGAGTCTGACAAATGCTTGATGACCTCATGAGTCGATACTTTATTCAGCACAGAAATGTTTCAATTATGCAGAAAGGTTTGATATTGATATTTACCGCAAAACCATATTCACAAATTCCTTGACGTGCGAATCTCACTGGTTTTCTGCTGAGGCTGCAATCCACCGTGGGAGATTATATTGAGATAGTCGAGCGCTTCCATAATCATGTTTTAAAATCGTATCACGCGCTACAGCGTTAATGATCATCTTCCTTCGAGCACCGCGCGCTTGTAGGAGGCCTTCATGTATTTACAAACGATCCTTATGAGGTTAACAAATCGACATATGAACCTACAGAGCTAGGTGCAGCATAATTCTTTCAAAAACCCAGAACTTCCGAATTTCTGAGCGTCATTAAACCAACATCCCCTTAAAGGGGAAGTACACACATGATTAATTAAATAAATATTTTCTTCTAAAGTTCCAAATCTGTATAATCATTTAGAGCAACTGAACTCGAACTTGTTTTCACAAACGGATTGATTGTGTCGATTGGAACATTTGAATTCACAGATGGGGGTGTCCCAAGTATTTTTGGCAAGAGTACACTTCTATTTGAAAGGTCATCCCTATTCACTAATCCAAAAATCGCACTTTTACCCGAATTAAACACACATGATCAAACTAATGGAGTCCCTCAGGCTTGTTTGTTACATTCAGGAAGGCAGCCTGAGTATGACACCCCTGAAGGGATAAAGGGTGAAGAGCCGGTGCCCTGTCCAGCAGATTTTAGCTCCAACTCCCCTCAACAAGGCCTAGTTGGAGCTTGATTTGCTGGCCCAGGTGTGTCTGATTGGGGTTGGAACTAAAGTTTCCAGGACACCCGTCTTAAACGATACAATCAAGGATATGTGTCTTTGTTGCACTTTTTGTCACCCTAAAGCATGGAACAAACTCTGGAACATGAGTATTTTGTGTTGGCCTTATTCACATAAAGTGTTGGGAAAAGTTACTTTTGAAAGTAATCCATTACAATATTAAGATACTCCCAAAAAAGTAACTATGTGTTACTTTTTATAGTGAGTAATGTATTACGTTTGCGTTCCTTTTGAGTTCCTTTTTCTTACCTGACTAAGGCTTGATCTTTTTTAAGGACTTGCTGGGTTTTTTCTTCTTCTTGACGTTAATTTTAATTCAGAAATGTATTTTTTTGTAAACCTTATTTAAACTAAAAAGTAACTCACATTACATGTTTAAATTAGTAACTGAAATTCATTAATTTTTTTTTTCGGTTTAGTCCCTTTATTAATCAGGGGTTGCCACAGCGGAATGAACCGCCAATGTATCCAGCATATGTTTTACACAGCGGATTCCCTTCCAGCCGCAACTTATATACTAATACACTCTTGCATTCACTACGGCTAATTTAGCTTATTCAATTCACCTACCACATGTCTTTGGACTGTGAGGGAAACCAGAGCACCCGGAGGAAACCGGGGGAGAACATGCAAACTCCACACAGAAACTGACCCAGCAGGGCTTGAACCAGCAAACTTTTTTGCTGTGAGATGATCGTGCTACCCACTGTGCCGTAGTGACACAGAAGTAACTGAACTATTATGACTTAATTTATTTAAGTCATGCATTACTTTACTCATTGTTTAGAAAAGTAACATTACTACGTAATTTGTTACATGTAATGCGTTACCCCTGAAACGGTTCATTAATGTATGTGTATGTATGTATGCAATAAGTCTGCTTTCACCAAGTAGGACATGATCCTTGATCATCTATGTTGATCCTGAAACAACATTCCAATCAGCCAATCAAAATTTAGTTTACAATGTTATTAAGTGTAGGCTTTCTGTTAGTGTTATACACTACATTATTGTTATGGTACAGTTAAGTTTAGTGATAGGGATTAAACTGAAAAAAAAATGTCTACAAAATTGTTGCAAACAATTTATGTGTGGAATTTACACAAATACATAATCATTTGTTTGTTTAAATTCAGTCCAAATAAATTGTTTACATCCATTTAACTTTAAAAAAAATTGTAAATCCAAGGAATCATCTTTGAATATTGTTTTCAGTGAAGGTATGGATTATAGTTTTGAACAGGAAAGATGTTCCAGGATCAACATACGTATTAAACCAGGCTGTTTGCATGTGCTTATGATTTTAAATGATTTTTTATAAATATTTTATTTATAACTGGTTTAAATGTTACAGTAGCAGCCTATATAGAAAAATAATATACAAACATTTAGGTAAAATTGAACTCTGAATCTCCAGTTTCATTCTGACACACCAAACAACTTCCCTGCGCAAAGGATCATGGGTGTCTAAAGTGTCCATCAGTTGAACCCTTTGAAATCCTTCATTCCAAATGGAAAATATCCAATTGGCCAGTTTTGAGCACTTGGGTTTGGAAAAACACTTCAATATGACAGCCATGATTGTTTTCACTCCAAAGTGCTCTTCTAAGAGCAATATATATCCCAGTTGGAATGCATCGTAAATCAAAAGTTGGGTAAACAGAGGTCAGGGCCAGCTCCAAATGGGCAGGTCAGCTCCAAATAGGTGGGACTAGAGCTCCAAGTGGGCTCTACAAACCTCTTGGAGGTTTTGATTGATTTATTTAATGTTTTGTGCAGAACACAGTGTCCAAGCTTGAGATTTATTAATGTCTACACTACACCAACACAACACTAAACCTTCCTCTTACAGTAATAAACAAAATATATATACAGGTATATTCTAATTGTTGCACAGCATAACAAGTATGACAGTATATTGATGTGCTCAATCGCTGATTGGCTAAAGTAGAAAAACCAGTTCTGCGATTTCTGTCCAGTCAAATCTCACATAGGCAGTAAATTGAATCATACTGAACAACCTCTCAAGACATAAGCGCTTTATAAATGCAAAACACCTTTTGGAAGCATTAAAACTGTTCAAAAAGATGTCAAAAATCTTTACACGCAATGACCCAGAGATTGAGAAAATGTAGAATGACAACTGTATAATCTCTGAAATCGCTAACTAAATGGAATGAATGAAGAATGAAAGGAGGGGCCGAACACAGTAGGAAGGACCGAACTATGAAAGAAGGAAGGACTGAACGAACAAAGGAAAAATTCAAGGAAGGACTAAACAAACTAAGGAAAGAACGAAAGAGGGGAGGAATGTAGGAAGGATAAAAAAGAAGAAATGAACAAAAGAAAGAAAGAAGAACAGAATAAACAAACAATGGAAGTAAGGAATGAAGGAAACAGGAAGATTAATAAATGCACTACAGAATGTTACGTTTACACATCCCTGCACAAACTGCATGTAAACACATCAACTTTTTTACATTGTAATACTCACTATTTTTGGGTACTTTTAAAAGATCTACTTTTTACTCATACTTTAAGTAATATTTACAACTGATAATTTTACTATACTTGCACTACATTTTTTGGTCAAGTAATGATACTTTTACATGAGTATAATTTTTTAGTACTCTTTCCACCACTGTAGCTGGGTAAACTTAAGACGCAGTGAAAGGGAGAGTACAACAAATCATTTGTTTACAATTCTACAGTTGAAACCAGAAGTTTACATAAACTCTAAAAAAAGGAACATAACCATTTTTTTTTTAAATTTGGTGTTAAATTATACTGAACGTTTACTATTTTAGGTCTGTTAGTACCTAAATCATTTACATTTACTAAATGCCAGAATAATGAGGAAAAAAATATTTTTTTTTAATTTATTTATAGACAGTGAACAGTTACATACATTTGCTTGGTATTTTTTTTTTTAGCTTTGCTTTTAAACTGTATAACTTTGGTCAAATGTTTTGGGTATCCTTCCACAAGCTTCTCACAATATTTTGAAGGAATTTTGGCCCATTCCTCCTGACAGAATTAGTGTAACTGAGTCAGATTTGTAGGCTATCTTGCTTGCACAAGCTTTTTCAACTCTGCCAACAAATTTTCTATAGGATTGAGATCAGGGCTTTGTGATGGCCACTCCAAAACATTTACTTTGTTGTCCTTAAAGCACATTTTTAACTAATTTGGCAGTATGCTTAGGGTCATGGTCTGTTTGGAAGACCCATTTGTGGCCAAGTTTGGATGTCTTGAGATGTTGCTTCAGTATTTCTACATGATGTTCTTTCTTCATGATGCCATCTATTCTGTGAAGTGGACCAGTCCCTCCTGCAGCAAAACAGCCCCACAACATGATGCTGCCGCAAACATACTTCACAGTTGGGATGGTGGTCCTAGGCTTGTAAGCTTTCCTCTTTGTCCTTCAAATGTAACACTGGTCATTATGGCCAAACAGTTCAATCTTAGTTCAATCAGACCACAGGACATGTCTCCAAAAATTATTCTTTTTCCCAGCGTAATTTAGCAAACTGTAGCAAATTGTAATTTGGCTTTTTTGTTGATTCTGGTTTGCTGATTTTCCCATGTTGTCACATAAGGAAGCAGTGTGTTTGGGGTTTTCCTTAAATACTGTTCTACAGTTGTGCCTCCAATTAACTCAAATGTTGTCAATTAGCCAATCAGAAACTTCCAAAACCTTGACACCATCATCTGAGCTTTTTCAGAGACATAATAATCTTATTGTATGTAAACTTGACTTTCAAGAAAAGTTATAACAATTTATCAAAAAAAATCTCTCTCATTATTCTGCTATAAAGCATGACAGAAACATATTTGACAATCCTAAATTACCTAAAAGAGAAAACGTTTAGTCACAATAACATCTGACTTTTTGAAAATGTTAAAATGTTTTAAAACTTTTTTACAGTGTATGTAAACTTGTGGTTTCAACTGTATTTGCTGAAATTATAAAATAAAATTCATTGATGGTTTTATCAAGACTTTCAGAAAAAGAAAATAGTGTGAGAATGATGACGGCATCCAGAGGAAAAAATAACGTCAAATTTCTCTCTGCATTACAAACACCTCACATAAGCGGTAATTCATTTTTTGTAATTTTTTTTTGTTTTTTTTTATCAAAATATTAAAAACTTTCAAGGATTTAAGATTATGATGACCTTTAAACGCTTCAAAACAGTCTTGTGAAAAGGGCCCATGTCCTGGAAAGGGACTTAAGAGTTTAAAATCCATTGTCTCCATACTAATTTATGCATTTTTTATTAGTCAAGTAATTAATTCAAGTAATTAAATGAGTTATTGAGAAACTAAGTTGCATTTCAGACAAAGCAATAAGAAAAGTTATTAATGGCAATTGTATTAATGTAATTAGTAATTAAATTATTTTGGAAATGACTTACCCAACAACTGATTGCAAACCCAATTTATGTAGCAATTATAAAAACATGTTGTTGTCCAAATGAATGTGCACACTGCACGTAACCTACTACATAGTGCATACTGAAATAGTAATCCAAGTAAAATTATAGATGATAATGCCTTCATATATTAGTATTTAATAAAGATAATGTGGGTGACATGGTGGCTCAGTGGTTAGAACTGTCGCCTCGCGGCAAGAAGGTCGCTGGTTTGAGTTGGCTTTACTGTGTGTGTTTGCATGTTCTGCGTGGGTGTCCTCCGGGTGCTCCAGTTTCCCCCACAGTCCAAAGACATGCGAAATAAGTGAATTGGTTGAACTAAATTGGCCATAGTTTATGAGAGCATGTGTGAATGTGAGAGTGTATGGGTGTTTCCCAGTACCAGATTGTGGCTGGAAGGACATGCTGCTTAAAACATATGACGGAATAGTTGCCAGTTCATTCCGCGGTGGCAACCCCTGATAAATAAGACTAAGCTGAAGAAAAATGAATGAATAAATGAAAGATTATACATTGCACAACTCCTGATGATTTCTTACATGACCTTGTTGTTCTGCCTCACTCCTTGTATTACAGATGCGCCGGACATCCAGCAGGAGTTCTTGCTGTTTTTTGAGGAGTCCTGATAGTGAAGGCTTCGAAGTGACTGTTTTATGATGTCCAGACACTTTTATTTTTCAGCTAAGCTTGTCACCAAAGCTCTTCAGTGCATCTCAAGCAACTCAACTCCGCTGTTTTCTTGTAGACATCTGGTGAGTTTATGATGCAACTCAAGGATCTGCCATACTCTCGGACAACTGAAGGAATACCTCCAGGAATGAGGACTTGTGTTTAGATCAGATCTGAACTTATTTTTAATTGTACCTGCAAAACAAAAAAATTCAATTTTATATGAGATATGCAATGTTTTTGCTGCTTTGAACCCTGGTCAAAGGTTTGTTTCCTTCCTCACAATGAGGTATTTATTTACAAGTAGATACACTGGGCTGTATCTCTATTCTAGTTTGTCCTGAGCATCCCGGACTAAGAAACTGAATGTAAAGTGTTTCTTTAAACAGTTAGTTCGACCAGAAATTAAATTTCTGTTCTGAATTACTCAACCTCATGTCGTTTCAATCCCCTGAGACCTTCGTTCATCTTCAGAACACAAATGAAGATATTTTAGATGAAATCCTGGAGCTCTCTTATCCTCCATAGACAGAATCAGTGCTGAGATGTTAGAAAACACAACAAAAACATTGTTAAAACATTGTCATGTGGAGGGCTGGTGTCCTGCCAAGTTTAGTTCCAACCCCAATCAGACACACCTGGGCTAGCTAATCAAGCACTTACTAGGCTTTCTAGAAACATCCTTGCAGGTGTGTTGAGGCAAATTGGAGCTAAAATCTGCAGGATACCGGCCCTCCAGGACTGAGTTTGGACACCCCTGGCCTATGTCTTCCACATCAGATAATGGTGCATGTTTACTATGGGCAATACAGAGCTTAGTTATTGTGCTGCTGACTCTAATGCCAATATACAATATTGCCATACCTGTCAACTCTCCTGTTTTTCTGGAATTCTCTCGTATTGTAAAGTTCTATCCCGCTATCATCCTGTCAAGATATTTTTCTGTATTTCTTCCATATTTTCAATCTTTCTATGAAGGCTGGCAATAAACATTAAAGAACTGATGCTCCCTATACGTAACCCATACCACCGCCAAACCACCAGGCGACGCCCCTCGCTCTTAATTACGAATATGTTCTTTGCTTTTATATTATTCACGCATGAAAACACTTTGAAATAACTATACAGACAGCGGGATCCCTTCCTTTCCATTACAGGAGCCATTGCCCCTTCTATGTTAATCAGTCAGTTCATGTAGCGGTGCGTGACTGTCAGACGCGCTCCAAAGCGCTGATAAATAGACGCTGTCTCCCAAACGGATTCTGTACACATGATTTGAATCAGAGCGAAAGTCGACACTCTAGGTTTTGGGTGCGTGTTTAAACAGATATATACACATAATAACATCTGAAAATGTCGATCTTGGTGGGTTTTCTTTTAACACAGTTAGGAAAGCAATCGAATGCTTCTATTATAAATCTGTGCATTTTTAGTGACGTCTCTGTTATTTAATGCAATCAAATGATAAATGTAAAAGAGAGGTTCATACAGTGAGGAAACGGTTAATGAGATTTGATAACTTGATTCAGTTTCTTTATAATAGCTATTAATTTTAATAATCTAAACTGTTTGAAATAAATTCTTTTTTGCAGCTTTTTCCCTTTATAATAAGTCCCTTTATTAATCCGGGGTCACCACAGCGGAATGAGTCGCAAACCTTTCCAGCACATTTTTACCAGCCACAACCCATCTCTGGGACACATCCACACACACTCATTCACTACGGACAATTTAGCCTACCCAATTCACCTGTACTGCATGTCTTTGGACTGTGGAGGGAAACCAGAGCACCCAGAGGAAACCCACGCGAACGCAGGGAGAACATGCAAACTCCACACAGAAATGCCAACTGACCCAGCCACCTTCTTGCTGTGAAGCACTACCTACTGCCCCACTGCATCGCCTAATAATAATAATAATAGTAATAATACTAATAATAATAATAATAATAATAAAACATATTACGGACCATTTCAACTGTACATTTACAATGAAACAGATCTGGATGAACATTGGGGGTAATCCCTTATTTTCACATCCCAATGATGACAGGTATAGATATTGCCCATATTAGAAGCACACCCCTGACCTGTCGCGGAAGGTTTTTTCTTTTTCTTTGGGTGCATAGAAGTATTCTTTGAGCTTTACTATCTCAGCTGAACTACTGAAGTCACATTGAAGGTTTTGATAATGTTTTTGTTTCCTTTTTTGGACTTTGACCATCTCTGAACTACTCAGGTTTTATACACATTTTTACTACAAAAATTCTATGACTTTTCCAAGACTTTCAAGTAAATTTTAATGACCTAACATTTCATATAATGTCTAAATATACACGTGTTAAATAAGAAAAACAATGCACATTCAAATTTATAAACACGCAACAATCATTCATTTATTTAGTATTTTAGTCATTTAATCTTTAGGCTTGGCCCCTTATTTATCAGGATTCGCCACAGCAGAATGAATCACCAACTACTTGGTTTAAATTTATATTTATATCTATGTAAAATTGATTTAGATAATGCTTACAAATCACTAATAATGTGAGATCATGGGATTGGCCAAGGACAGAGAAGACAACTAGCCCATATTTAAATAAACAGATATTTGTTAAACAAATTTTCATGACTTTTCCAGTTGTACTGTTTATCCAAAACTTTTCCAGGCCTGGAAACTGTCATGTCAAAATTACATGACCTTTCTAGGTTTTCCAAGACTGTATGAACCCTAACTACTGCAGTCAATGGGCGGGTCAGAGAGCTCTAGGATTTCATCTAAAATACACGGTAAAAAATGCAGGGTTCCACACAATTCATTCAGATTGTCCCAACACAAAATAATTAAGTAAACTAATTTAGTTAATTAAAGTGGAATGAACTTGAAATAATTAAGTTGTCCCCAAACAAATGTTAAAAATTAAAGCTCATTTTACATGAGTAGTTTCAACAAGCAGTAAACAGTTGTGTTCTGAAAACAACCAGAAGTCTCAGGGATGAGGGTGAGTATTTAATAACATTATTACAATTTTTGGTTGAACTAACCCTTGAACTCTTGGGGAAAATGACAAAATGTGGGGATAATTTCTTTGTTTTTACATTAAAAAAGTAAAACTATTGTAGTATATTTCAGCTACAGATGAAGTGTATCATGACCCTTATTTCAACTGAATTTTAAATATGCACAAATGAACCGTTGGCGTCTCTTTCATTAAAGTTTTCCACTCAAACATCTAAACATAACACACGTTTCATATGGAAAGTGTTTATTTTGGGCTAGTAAAGTAATCAGAGCAACAGTTGCCAGTCAAAAATAAGACAATCAATCATATTAAACCCAGACACATCAAAGATAAGCTGACAGACAGGAAACAAGTGATTACCAATTATAATATTAATAAACCGTTGGTTTGAGATGACGCCGTTTCAGTTGGAAAAGCATTAGCATTTGAATAAACAAAGTCTGGATAATGACAGCAAATTGATCAAATGCAGCAATTTCGGTCCGTGCCAAGTTTCAAAGCACTTCGAATGTCATCTCCATTTCTATTACTTCTGTTCTTCAGGCAGTTATTATGACCAAATGAGATAAGAAGCGAATAACGAGACACTCCAGCATACGAGCTCGTTTTAAATGAAATATTTCCTTGACTCGGTACATAAATAAAAGTACAAATGACAGAAATCTACCACACACGCCGACAGAATTCACAGCAAATCATTAACAAAGGTGCCATTATCACTTCACTGAACAGAAATGAATATGCCCTTTAGCGTATCACCATGATTTAAGTACAAAATCGCTGAGCGAAACCACGCAATGCAGCAGTGACTCTCCTTTTTATGAACCGAAGCTGCTTTTAAACGCATCTATAAAAGTCATTATCAAATATATGTAAAGGCATTTTCAGATGGTGCATTTCTCAGAAACTATTCTGCTGGTCGCATTTGCAAAGCTGAGAGAAAATATTCAAACCTAATGTATTTCGGTGCATGTTCCTCATTAGCCTTTAATGCCGTTATTTGATTCAATTAGGGATACTTTGACTAGCTATTTGATGTTTTAACATATTTCTTTACAATAATGTTATAGTAATATGTTACTATATAGTAATATTAAGTAATATAGCAGAATTTTACTTTAAAAGGTAAAATGTCTTGCTGCACCAGCAATAGTGTGAAAAAACTGCTATTGGTTTAACAATTAAAATAAATGGACACACCTCCAAATACACCATTGGTTGAGCTGATGATGCCAGGGCTGGTCAGGATGCTTAAATAAATAAACATTTAGCGATTTCTTTTGAGGAATATATTATCATTTTTAGCATATTTTAAAGAGCCCATATTATGGATTTTGAAAATGACCTTCCATACAGTGTGCAGCACAGCTCTAAGTGAATGAAAACATCCAGCTGAGGTTTAAATCAACCTTGTTTAAAAATATCCAATTTAAAATAAACGATTCGACTTAAAAGTCGTTTAAATGATTCGTCGTTCGTCAGGATTTTTTGCATGTTGATATCCACGTCGAGACAAACTAAATATAAAGTTTTGGATCCGGTAAAACGTGAACGCTCCTTTCACTTCAAACGCTAGCAGTGCTGGTGAGTGTGGGACTGAAGGTGAGTGAACATTAATGAGTGAACGTTGTAGTGATTAATGCAATAATCTACCCTGCAACCGGGAATTTGTTGGTCGTTTGTTAAAAGAAGGATCAAAAAAGACTATTGATGTATGAGATTTTGACAAACTTTATCAGTACACAGTTCATGGATCAGTTTCACAAGTGTAAGATTAAATTGGCTGTCTCCTTGTTTCTCTAGCTTGCAAATTATGTATTTGTTTGTGTTTGGCTACTTGTAATCGCTCTACGCGGCATGTACTCTATCTGATTAACTCTTAATTTTCACATATCGCGTCTAAAACCACGTTGAAAACGCACAGCATGCTGCTTTGTTTATGGATTAAAATGCGTCCATTAGCTCGCGATCCTCTGTCGTTTGTCATTGCTATAACTACCGTCAGCTGTTCCTACACATGCAGCGGTCAAGTTTTAAAATAGTTCAGCTTTTGCCACTGTGTGGACTAATACTGAATGTGTGTTGTTGTTTTTACTTGTGGTTAAGAATAGAGCGATATGCTGATGTTTAACTGTATTGCTTTAATGCGCTCCTGCATTGGGCTCACACATATACTCTGCACTCTGACTACTTCAACAATGTAGATAAGCTGTGGTGGGCGTTTCACACTGTGTCGCACTGAACGCAGTCGACTAATCGCAACAGACTAGGTCATCAGACTAATCAGCGCAGATTAGCATCGTGCTAAGGAGGGGTTTGGGAACAAATTAATCTTTGAACAAATCATATGGGAGCCGTTGGGAAAATGAGGTAAAAATAAATGCAAATTATAAGAAAACAAAAGTGTTTTTGACCTTGCATGCATATCAGCCTGTAATTGGAGACCCACAAAACCAAAATATGACTTTTTAATGTATAATAGGGGCTCTTTAACATGTCACAAATGACACATCAACTGTAATAATAAAGAAGGGGCAAGCAAGGATATTTTTAGAAATGTCTGTCACTGCACAGCGAAATGTCCTTTATAAGTCCTTTAAATGAGGGGTGACATTTAAATAACATCCCTATCAAGTGAGATGTGAATTTTTTGAAAATCTTAAGGCATCTCTGAGCAAGAAGGCTCAGATTAGTTTGAAAACTGGTTTCTAAGGTCACAGCAAAATAAGGAACAAACTACAAACAAAAAAAGTGAATTAGACTTCCACTAGAGTTGCCCTTTTTTCTAGCAGCACAACTTTTAATCTAAATGTGCATAGATAAAGTGAACCAATAAGAGAAATGTGTGATGTTCACTTGAGGAGATTCTGAAGCATGGCGGTGGCGTAGGTGGGACGGGCCTGCTTGCTTTCAATAGCATTCTTCAAGTATTGGATTCCACCGCAGCGCTCCCAGATCTCCTCAAACTGCCGGGGCAGGATCTCGGCTCCACGTTTTCGTGTGAGGCCGGTCTCCTCCAGACTCAACTCGCACATCTCCATGTCATCTTTACCTGAGAACGGTTACAGAAGGCGTCAAAATCTGTCTGTGTACACATTTTACATCCGCAATTAAGCATCGAATTGTCTTTTAAAGGTGCTGTTTGTAAGTTTGGATTCTACTAAGGCATAAAAATACCATAATATGTTTGTAGATATTTAAGAAACCTGCTAAGTGAACATTTTTGTTTATCTGAAAAACAATGTTGACGTCAGACATTCCGCTTTGAAAATGTGCGTTATGTGCTGGAACTTTAACCTGCCCATTGCCAGTTTAGCTAATTATAATTCAGCACCCCAGGGTGCTTTGAAGGAAAACAGCGTATTTGATTCATTCAGTCATGAAAGCTCTCAAAATATGCATCCGATACCAAAATGCAACCTCCGGTGGACAGTAACAGCCTCCTAAATGAGACACAGATTCAGAGTTCCACATGAGGTGATTTTTAATTAGCAAATAATAAAAAATATTATGAAGGTAAACATTAGGAGAGCAGGTAACATTGTAACCCCGTGTTCTAACAACACACTACATGATGAGATACACAGTAATAAGCAATTTGGCTGTTTGCACCAGATGACAGAAATTTAAATACAGCCATCAGAAGCACAGAATAGTGCACCTACTGCACTTCAATGATATGGTAAGGGATACAATCTAATTAAACATATTAAACCTCTTTAACTTTATCAAATGTACATGATGAATCACTGATATGTGTTGGCTTACTCTGAGTCACAGTTCTAAAATTCACTTTCAAATGGTTTATTTTATTTTCAAAACCTGAGGTGAACTATCTGCTGCTGCTTTCAGTAGTATGACAATAAATGTCATGTAAAATGGCATTTAAACTCACATTATTAGCATTTAACACTGAACAAAGTCCATGAGGTGCACCTGAGGTGATCATCGTCAGTTTATCCTGTTATTCAGCTGCGAGAAATAAAAGCTTTTTCTAAAATATCAATTCGAGGTGTTGGTTAGGACAAAAACTCCTTTCAATATGGTAAATATTTCCTCTATCATGTGTTATTGCTTTTATTTAGAACACAATCTAAATCAGTCTTTAGGCTTGATAGTCGCTTCTGTCTCCAATCTAGCAACCTGTGCTTGCGTGTGTTTTGAACCAGGAGTGCAATACCTAATTTAACCGCCTTTAAGAGTTTCAGCTATTTTATCAATTCCAGCTTCTTTTCTGGCGTATTAATTGTTTATAGATTGGAGAAAATGACTGATTTAACTTCATAGTATTTGGTACCTGCAACCAAGAGGATCGGCTGCTTGTCTGGATGAAGCTCCATCTGCCTAGCGATCCAGGGTCCATCAAAGTGAGCGTACCACCAGCCTTTCTTCTTGTTCTGGGGGTCTTTGTACTGGTCTGCGGGCCGGATGAAGGGAATGCGGAAGTAACGCTGCTGTCGGTTCATCGCGATCTCTTGTTGCCGGGCTGGGACAGGTGGAGCAGGGTTTTGCTGGGCTGGAATACAAATATATAAAATTTAAAAAAAATATAAAAAAATTGTGTCTGCTTGTCTGTTCAAAACCTGCTGCTGAGATTCTAGGGTAATCTGATTGTGATGAAGATGTCATTTATAGCATGTTGTTACAAAATGTGTTGTTCTAGGTCAGGGGAGTCCAAACTCAGTTCTAGAGGGCCGGTGTCCTGCAGATTTTAGCTCCATCTTGCCCCAACACACCTGCAAGGATGTTTCTAGAAAGTCTACTAAGAGCTCGATAAGCTAGCCCAGGTGTGTCTGATTGGGCTTTGAACTAAACTTTGCAGGACACTGGCCTTCCAGGACCGAGTTTGGGCACCTAACTTTGTTCTAGATGTTTCAGAGAGCGAATCAGAGCATGAAGACAAAAACTAGAGTGATGCAACTAAGCAATTAATGCAAGTCAAAAGGTGAAACAAAATAGATGGCTCACTTTTCATCACATTTCTCAAATATTTACAAATGATATGAATATCATATTATCAGACTTTTATTGAATGAACGAATCCATCTGTGGTGATCGACCCAGAAATATGAAAATAGTATGCAAACACTGCTTTGTTTACGATTGTGTAGGACTACTTCTGTTGCCATTTTGGAATGACAATGAAGACTACTGGCACCTACAGGTGTGGAAAGATACATTCTCTCACAGAGACACTAAACGCACATACATCTTGTAGTCAGATGTGGTCTGTTTGGTGTGTTCACAGTCAGTGTTTGTCACAGCTGTTGACAATTAAAAATTACAGACAAATATTTCTTATGTAAAATACGCTTTTGATTTTATCTGACCTAAGGTGAAGTTCTGCAATGTTTTTACCAGTGCAGTGGCTGTATAACAACATCATCGTAACCTAGCCTTCCCCAGATACATTCCCAATAGAAAATAACAAGGCACTGATGAAAACATTGCCTAATTCAAAATGTCACCACTTTGTAGTCTCCCCTGAGTTCGCACTTCTTTGACATTATGCTGTTTCGACAGTCGGGGAGAAGTCTACTCTTAGTCCGATCTCAGTCCCAGCAGATTTGTTGCTTTGAGGGCACATAGCGAGCGGTTACATGTGCACTCTTCTGAGAGCTACAATAAAGACTGGGACACCCTATGGTCTCATTGACTTAACAAACATGTGGATGGGGTGACCACAAGTCTGAAAGATCACAATTGATGTGTTCCATTTGGGGTTAGACAGATGTCAAAGCTCAAAGTACAAAAGAAGCCAAAATTGTACAAAACCACAAACACATAAAAATATGTAAAGCTCAGATGCAAAAAACCTTCAAATGCTGTCTGAAATTTTCTCCTAAAATTTGCGTTTTTTTTAGCCTCCTATGTTTATGATCAGTAATTTCACTTTAAAGGCAATGAAAAGAATTTATAAAATACTTTAAAAGTAAAATTATTAAACCTACACACAAGAGTTAAAAAAAAAGAAAATTTTAAAAGAAAATCAAATGGCATTTAGAGGTTTTTGCATCTAAACTCTTCATATATCTATAATATATTTAGCATATATACTAAAGACAAAGTGCGTTTTAGTCTTTAGTAGCCAAAACCAGTCTTTTAATCATATGTTTGTTTGAGTTATGCAAATTGGATCACATGGACAGACACATGTATTGATAGAAATTGATACAATGGCTATATGAAAGTGGCTTGACATTATAAAATATTACAAATTAGATCAAGCTTAGCTTTCAATTAGAATTTGGTCTTGATATTCTTCCACAAATTTGCTCTAAGACTGCACAATATATTGTTTCAGTATCAAAATCGCAATGTGCGGATCGGCAATAGTCACATCGCAAAAATATGCAATGTTGAGTCTGAATTATAGTTGGCCAGGATTTAAAGAATTGTATTTAAACGCTGTGATCCATGTAAAAAAAATTCACACTTGTTCATACTTGTTTTCTAGTCTTAATATCTACATTTCAAAGTGAAAGCAAGATTATTTTAGTTACCCCACTGGCTGATATGTTTGCTTGTTTTAAGAGAAAACTCTTAATTTTCATTTATTTCTTCTGATAGTGCAAATAATACATATTGACATAATAAGACATATTGTCTTGTTTTAAGAAATAATATGCCAAAAATAAAGTAAAGTTGTCTCAAATCAAAAAACAAGATTATTTTGCTTACCCCATTGGCAGATTATTTTGCTTGATTTAAGGAAAAACTTTCTTTATTTTGGCATATTATTTCTTAAAACAAGACAATATGTCTTATTATGTCAATATGTATTATTTAAAACAATATGCTTTGCTTGTCTAGAAAATGCTTCTTGATTTAAGAATTTGTAGATATTTGGACTAGAAACAAGACAAAAAATCTAGGTAAGAAAAGCATTTTTTGCAGTGTGAAAACTAAACAATATTTTTACTTGCCCTAAGAATGGTTCAATATTTGGACTTGAAACAAGATAAAACAAAAAAAGAAATGCATGTTTTTAAATATTGTGATTATTTAATTCCTGTACCTGAATACCGTTTACACCGCCAGTTAAATGTGACCCAATTCTGATTTTTTGCTCATATGTGACACAGACTGGATCTGTTCTATGACTGTGAAACACAAAATAAACGCATGCATTCAGATATTCAAAGATCAGTTTCAGGCCTCCTTCATAAATGGAAATAAATCAGATATGAATCGGATAATGTGATCATGTAAAAAGGCAAATCAGATTTATTGAGGCATTCTGTTTTGTATGTCATTAAACTTGTGACAATGTGGTACTTGTTCTCGGTTTAATGACGTAGAGGGAAGAGCATGTGTGGAGATGCCGTCGCGGTAAACAACAACAACAGAGGAAAGATGGAGGAGGAAAGTGGTCAGTCGCCACAATTTGCTCCCACCAGAACTGAGATCTCTCATACCCACAAATTCCTCTGAATGGTGGAGGACACCATATACAGTAAAAGCCATAGGCGCAAGCTACGATGATGGCCCTTTCCCTCCTCCTCCTCCTCAACATAATTTTAAAGTTGGGTGAACATTGCATATTTCGCAGAGCTAAAAGCAAGACCTTTTTTTTCATTGTGGCTAGTGTGGCGTGGATGCTAGAACCTGCCTGTACACATGTGTGACGTCGTAAATTGTATGGCAAGTGTAAACACATGAATCAGATATGGGTCACAATTAAAAGAACGTGTAACTGGAGAGCCAAAAAATCAGATGTAGGCAACAAATCAGAATTGGGCATCAAGATCTGACAGTGTAAACGGAGTCTTGAATTGCCCAGAAAACTGTCAAATAGTGCTATTCATCCTATCTTGTAAAATCAGATTCATATAGCAATATTGAATTGCAGAAAAAAAAAATATATAGCAATATCAGATTTTTCCAATATCATGCAGCCCTACTCTGGAGTGTGGAGCTAACTAATGTTTTTATTTGTGAACGCAATAATAAAAAAAAAGATTTATATTAAGTAAGAGTTTGACATGACTGTTTGATTTTCTCTCCCAGTACTGGGTTGCAGCTGGAAGGCCAACTGCTGTGTAAAACATGTGCTGGATAAGTTGGTGGTTCTTTGCGCTGTGGCAACCCCTGATGAATAAAGGGACTAAGCCAAAGGAAAATGAATGAAAGTTTGATTATCATAACACTTATAAACAGGGGCGGACTGGGACAAAAATTCAGCCCTGGCACTGTAGCCACACCAGCCCACTTTACCACACCGACACAGCCCCAACCACGGACACGCACATTCACTATTTATTTTGGTTTAAAGATGGTGAAATAATATGACATTCTTGTCAGATTTTGATTATGTTGCCGATTGGGCCAAATGCTTAACATTTATTATTATTATTATTATTTTTATTATCATCATCATAATATCACATCTAGCAAGTGATAAAAGTTAAGTACAATACATAAAAAAAAAAACTGACCGGCCCACATTTAAAAATTGGTATGGCCCTTCTGGCATTTGCCAGAATTGCCAGATGGCCAGTCCGCCCATGCTTATAAAGGAGATGTTTGGCAAAAGTCATTGTTTCATAATTAACCTGTAAGCCTGCACTCACTTTTGGGAATTTACACCTACTTCACTTTAAAGAGCAACAGTTCTTGACCCCAGTAAGCTACAAACAAAACAAAAAAATAGGGATCATTGGAAAAAAAAAGACACTTTCATGCTCAAGTTTCATGCTTAAAAATATAAAAAGATATACATTATGAAGTCATGAGAAAAAAAAAATTATACAGTGTTAAATTTTTTTTTTCCACATACAAACACTGGAAAACATTAATGTAATGCCATAAAATATGTACATTAATGTAAAGGCACAAAATATGCCTTAAAAGCCAAGTGATTCATAAGTTTATATTTTAAATTTGATAAAGATAGCATGCAAAATAAGATTATAAATCCTAATATAAAAAGATTACACAGAAAAAGTTTATTTCTGTCAAAAGGCTATATCAGTGTCCTTCTAAATAGTGAAATAAAACACAATAAAAATATTGTATAAATATTATAATTGCATAATAGCAATACAGTTGAAGTAATAATAATTTGAAAATCACATTTTCAGAATCTGAAGTAATAACCTTTTTTATTTAGTAGCTAGAATGTGTATTTTAATTACCAGCAACATCAGAAAATAATTTCTAGATGAATTGATTATCAAAATGAAAACAATTGTTGCAACTCCTAATTCACAGTATGGATTTTTGTTAGTCCTGCTCCCACAAGACTGTGTTACTCCTGCTCACTCCAGCAAAAAAATATAATTTGTCCCGCACATAACTTTTAACCATTGTCCCGCTCCAGTCCACAAAAGCCTGCAATGTAGAGCTCTACATGGATTTTCAGTCCCTCTCCCATAAGATTCTGTTTCGCTCTAGTGCCACAGTCTATATTGTTTCTTCTTTTTTTCCAATTCTCCCACACACAACGTTTCTGACCTCACCTTGTTGAATTTGTCGCAGCAGGCAGAAGGAAGGTGCTTTCCTTGCTGCCAGGTA